AAAATCCATCAAGGAGACTGGTGACTTACACAAATAGAGCAGCAGAGATGGTGGAAGGAAAAAAAGATGAGAAGCAGCTTAAGTGAACTGGAAAATATAGGCCCTAATGTTGCCCTGCAAGTAAAGGTTTCTATGTTTGTGACTCAGCAGCTTCATCTATCGTGTCAGTGGATCTGTGCTCAGAGCCCACAGTCTACACCGGTGCAAGAGAAGGCCAAGGAAATAATTTGCCTTTGCTAGGGATGGAAAATGCCTTTTCCCACAGGAAAGGGAACACAGAGACTTTGGTATAACAGCAGCTAAACACTATGAATATACATAGATTGTTGTGAAGAATCAGAAGCACTTATTTGTTTTACTGTCAAAAGCAATACATCCCCTTTTCAACCTGTTCTGATAAATCATTCTCAAATCAGTATGTAATGATTTAAAGAAGTGAATAATTTTTTTTTCTGAATATTTGGCAGCAGTAGAGTCTCACCAGCAGGAAAACCCATAACGTTAAAGATGCGGTCAAGTTGATCATGGTGGTAAGGATTACTGGTCTTAATGTCCTCCTGGCGACAGTGAAATATGGGCTCAGACGTCAGCAGCTCTGCAAAGATGCAGCCAATCGCCCAAATGTCTGAAAGGAAAGCAGAACACATACATTTCCACTGTCACTAAAGTCAGTTGAACTGGCTGCACATTTCCACACACAGGCAGATGCACAGACAGACTGTTCTGCACAATTCTCACCGATGGCTTTGGTGTAGTGCCGCGCCCCCAGCAGCAATTCAGGAGCTCTGTACCAGAAGGTGACCACCACTGGGTCGAGATCAGCTAAAGGCTTCAGCGGTGAATTGAACAGACGGGCAAACCCCATGTCCGCTGCAAAACTAACATGTTAGCCAGTAATAGCAAATTTAAACAATAAATAACATTAAAAAAGAGGTATTATACATACCAATCTTTACTCTACCCCTCTCCGGCCCTTCTCCCATCACTAAAATATTAGCTGGTTTCTGATGGAGAATAAGAGACAAACAAAATCTAAATGTTGTAAAAACTTGACAGTAAATCTGCTGAGATGAATGCATCATTGTTTGGGTGCTGAACTACAGTCCTGAATGTGTTATTTAATCAAAACTATGTTTCTGCCCTCTAGTGGACACAGGATAATCCAAGAGGAGCTCACAGGACAGGTCTACCATTTACATCTCACTGCTGACAAGCAGAAATGCAAATGGAAAATAACCTGGCTTCATGATTGTGCTCCCTGTAAAAAAAATGTCTGAGACTACTTTGAGAATATTTTTAAATTATCTATTTAGAAGCGTACAGTCAATTAGCAACAAACTGCTGTATACTAATCATGATCGACTTGTTTGCAAAACATGTCAAAACCTCTTTCATGACTAAACACATGTAGAATTGATTCTTGTCCAAAAAACAATTCAATCAAACACCAACTGTTAGCTTGTCATCCCTTCTACCTAAATATTTCCTCCTCCTCCTCCTCTCCTCCCATTTGCTTTGCCTCTCCCCCTCCCACCAGTTTCCCAATCCTCTTACAAGGTCTCTATGGAGGACCCAGTTGGTGTGGAGGTAATGGATGCCATCCAGGATTTGGTAGAGCAAAGACTTGACCATTCCTCTAGGCAGCTGAAGTGGCTTCTTGTTGGCCTTGGATGCTCTGTGGAACTTAATAATGTGCTATGGAAAGACAAGATAATACTAATAATTGCAGTGTGTCTGTACATGTTAACTCAAACACATCATTTTGTGTTCTACAGGAGACATGAGTTGGTGTGTAGCATGTTCCCACTTCCTTACGAAGGGAATGTTGAGTGCTGTAGCTCTGTGGCAAAAAAGACATTTTAACTCAGTTCTAGCACTAACAACTATAAATGCCAGATGCAGGTTTGACTTTTGAAGACATCTTGGCGGAGATGGTGCAAGTCAGAGTCAAGTCTGAAGTCTCTAATTCAGTCTCTACTGCAGAAGCATTTTTACCTCCGCCATGGGCAGGAGTTATGTTTATACCGGTGTTTGTTGGTTTGTTTGCCAACAGCACAACTCGAGAAGTAATGAACGGATCTGGATGAGATTTTTTTTGGAAAGGTAGGGTATGGCTCACAATTGACTTGATGCTGATCTGCATCGTAATTTGGATACCAGAATATTTTTAAAGCTTATTCACCACTGTGAGTGCTGTATGTGAGCCCTCTTGTGCCCAAAGTGTGTCTGTACTGCTGAGCATTCCAAGTACATAAAGAAACAAATCCCTGGGTTAATGACAGCTGCCTATTCACTATCAATGGAAACTGAGTGCTGTCACTCAGTACACCCTGCTGTGTAAGACAGGGACTGAAGGAGCCCAGCGAAGCAACAGGGGAAAGATTTACTCTATTCAGCGACAGCAGTGCGAGAGCCTGAAACCAGGCTCAAAGCTGATAAGATCTTCATCTGTAGGACTGGTATTATGCCAATTTATTAAGTTTTGACTTTTTTTTTCAGCAACAAAGTAACCACTTAGACTGAAAATTTGTGGTCAGTCTATCCAGGTAATGCCAGTTTAGAATTTGAGCACTGTCTAGTCTCCTCTAGTGTCCAGTGTAATTACTGATAAGGACTTATAGTATAGGAACCACAGGTATAATACCCTTTAAACACAATACCTTAACTGAAAATGAAGAGAATGAACATGCATTAAAAGAACTATTTGTCTCTGAAATAGATGCTGCAATCACCTCAAACACTGCAGTTCACAGATCTCTTCTATTTATCTGACCTCTCACTTAACAATAAAAAAAAAAGCATTCAATGCTGCTACTGTGTCCTTATGAGCTATCTGCAGCTTCACAGAACCAAAACAGTCACTGTGTAGGGCCCACTGAGTCTGGCAGGGAGTGCAAGACTGTTATGTCTCTTTTTGCAGTGTTGAGATACATTATGAATAATAGGTAACAGTATCAACACAGTTTGACATTTATCAAGCACACCAACAGGTTTATAGCTTAGCAAATAACCATGAACAAGAAGTCTGTGCTGGCAGTAAAGTTCAACATGTCACTCTGAACATCTGTATTATGTTGACAAAGATAAGGAGCCTAATATGAGCCAATACACCTGACATACAAAACAGCTAATGTAACATTGAACTTAGCTAACTTAGAGGATATCTGCAACATTATCCTCTCTGAGTGAGGTTTCATGTTGGATGTGGGCACCCCAGTGTTTACATTGTCCCACATTCTTTACAGGAGGCACTTTTTTTCTGTTAAGCACAGGGGTTTTTAAATCCTTTTATCCAAGGGTTACAATATACAAATTAGCTGGTGTTGAATGGAGCTTTGTTGTTTGGGGACACAAGTCACATGCCTGTAGTTGGCAGATGCACGGTGTGATGTGTTAAAGGATCATGAGTCAAGTCTGGAGTCAGTCAGGTGCAAGTTTGGAGTCAAGACTGATGTCTATTTATGTATTAAGTATGAATCGCCAACTGCAGTGCCCGTCTCTGTGCCTTGGTTAATGTGTTTTAATAAGGTTTAGCAGTGCATAATCAGCACCATGTTGAGCCTCCTTCCTTATAACTGGCTGATGGTGAATGTCAGTATAATGTATGCAGTATCAGCAGTATGAGTAATTCTGCATTTGTGAATGTCTGCATCTTTCTCCCTCTTAAAAAAGTAACAGTTCACATTTAAATAATAAATAAATAAATAATTCCAGTTCAAAGCTCAGCCAAGATAGAGGATGCAGCTCCTGGATCAGTTGGTGAAATTCTCTGTGCTTCCTTGGTGTTTGACGAATTGTGGTGCACCCAAACATGGCATTTCCCTCACTTGTCAACAAATAAATCTAGTAGCAGAGCTACTGCACGAGATTTTCAGCGCTAGAAAATTCACTGGTATCCTGCAACTTCCTCGTAGTCATGCAGCACGCAGCTCATGGTTGCTTAGCAATGGCAGACACCACCAGCGCTTTAGAAAGAAAGAGAAAATGGCACGGCTGGGGTTTTCCATGCATTTTTAGACATGATGAGTGAACTTCCACTTATACTGACTTTGTTTTAGCATGTGTCATTGTACTTGCATAAATAGGGATTCTGCAGTATGCGCATGTGTATTGTCTAAACCTTTAAATAAATGTTTAAAAATGAATTTTAGAGAAAAATATCAAACCCACTCCTATTTGCATGTTTAGAAAGCAAGATAACACTGTTTTTGATAAATCATATCATGCAGCTCCAGTATGTGTGTGTGTGTGTGTATTTTACCCAGAGATCATGCTCGGCGTAGTCAAAGAGCAGCCATACTTTACGGTCTGCATGTGACAAGAAAACCTTCTGCAGTGAGATGACATTGGGGTGCTTCAGCTCCCGCAGCAGCTGCAATAAACAGGTGAGATGACATTGGGGTGCTTCAGCTCTCGCAGCAGCTGCAATAAACAGAGTTTAGAGTCAAAAATCATGAATGTGATAGTCAATTTGTGCCAATTAGTGAATGTATGAAGTGTGAAATGTGAATAATCTAGTGTTCTGCAGACTGTATGTGTAGGGGGACAATATAATAAAAACACATGCACAGTTAAATTCAATTCAAGGACATAGCTGTGCAACAAATAACACTTTTGTTAAAAAACATTTTTGCTAAAAAAGTGGCAGTAAGGATTAATTTATGCTCATGCGCATTACTTTGTCTATTTTCTACTGTTTTGTTTGTTGATTCCTTCTAGCTTTCCTATTTTATGTCTGTTGTTACTGACTCGCATTGTGAAGAAAGGTAAATCAGATATTACATAAAGCTCCTAGCACTGGCATAAAGGTGTTAAACAGAGACCAAACGAAAGGGACAGAGAAAGCCAAGCTGTTCTTACTGCAATCTCTCTGCAGGCTGACATGGAGATGCCAGTGCCTTCAATCTGCTTAAGGGCGTAGTCCTTATCATCCTTCCTACAAACACAGAGAAGCACAACAACATCAACACCAGCCCAGACTGCGGGCCCCCTGAGAGCTGTCTGCACAGAGACATAAAGGGGGGCACTTGGCAGCTGACACAGGAACTCTGAGAAGAGGCTGAGTTGCATTACCTCCAGATCTGTGTAATCAAGCTCACCTCTGAGACTCAAAATAAAAGAAGGGGAGAGGAAACAGGCCCTGTCTGGCAGCTGGCGAGGGACAAACAAAGTACTGGGCTCTCACTTGAATGAATTGGTTCCAACCCCTCCCTCCTCTTGGCCTAAATCATCTCATAAACCCATGCTTTGTGCCGTCACAGGCTTTGTCCAACTGCTGCACCACAAATTAGCTCACAGTCTTATAAACAGCAGCCTGCTTAACTGAACTCAACCATATTTAAACACTTAAGGGCTTTTCTGTGTGGTTCTGGCTGCCACTATGTCCAGGCTGTGATAATGGGCCTAGTATGGTAACACAAGCTGCCTTCAGCTCTCCCCAGCTCTGGTCCAGACATAGTTAATACTGTTACATGCATTGCATTAGAGAGAGCAGGAAAATGGGAAATAAATAAAAGATTTAAAACTGAAAGGTGGCTGACACTCTGGTGCTGGAGGGTTTTGAGGTGCTGACTATGAACCATAGCATCCACACTTTACTTTCAGCTGGGAGCCTTTGCTGCATATCATTGTGCAAACATAATCTCTCCACTATCACCGCTCCAATATGGGCAAAATAAATAAAAATTTAAAAAAGGGAATTGAAGGTTGGCTGAAGTTAAAAGTAAAAGGGGGCAGAAAAAAGAGCATGAAAGCAACAGGACCAAAAACGTAGGCATGTTAGATAACACAGCAGATTGCTACATACACAACAAAACAGTTTCATTAAAGAACAAAAGTCTCACTTTGCTTGCTGAATGCAGACTTTTCAACAAATTATACTACACTTTAGACACTCAAAAGGATGATAAAATGTTTGGAAGGATGTATAGAAATATTTACATCGACTGAAATAAAAGCACCCCACCTCCAGAAAAGGAGTGGTGGTGGACTATTGGGACCATCAACAAGATCTGGCACATGTACCTGCTGTATCCTATATTCTTCACATCACTCCTTAATTTTGCTAAATAAATAATGCCAACTGTTGAAGGGGAACGTGACCTAAGTAAAATAAAATGCATTCTCCAAGACACAGGGGGCTGGCGTAGGGTTCACGGCTAGAGGCCTTGCAGGTCATCAACTCACCCATCTTTTCTCTTCGCCTTGTATACATGACCGTAGGTGCCTCTTCCCACTTTGCATCCTTCGTACTCAAACAGATCCTCGACTCGTTCTCTTTCGCCGGTCAGCTTCACTTTAAAGTCATAGTCCATTTTCACCTCTGTTTAGGCTAAATGTATCCGCTCCTTCCTTTTTTAAAGCGTCGCTTGGGAGGCAACTAGGCTACTCAAACGAGCTCGGTTTGGTAATTCAGCTAGTTGCCTTCCCCAGCGTGGCCCTTTCTTCCTTCAGCCCAGCTTCCACATCGAGTTTTCGGGTTAAATTTTATGCACCGGAGGTGATGTGTGGTGCTCAGGGGTATTCCAGTTGAAAAACGAGCCTGAAATCTATTACTTGCTCTTCTTGCTGCGTTTCTCCCAGCCGGTATCTGCTCCAAAGAGACGTACTTCACTCGGTAACGACGGCGTATTCGCACACGGCACTGTCGCAAAACGTCGTGAAGAATTTCTGCAGCAATGAGATATATTCAGACCATTCAGACAAGATGTGGATATTAGTCTATGGTGGAGACAGACGTACAACGTGGAAATTCATATTCGTACAAATAAGAGCTGTTGACAGTTTATTTGATCACAACAATCGTAAAATAAAAAACAGTTCTCCTGTTTTGTAATTTTGTGGCATATCTCAATAATATCATACTGACGTGCAAAGAAATATCCTGCATGTTTATTTATATATATATATGCCTGCCGTTTCATTATAAAAGAAATCAATTTGTTTTAATTAGCCTAAAGTATAAGAATTATGTTATTAAAAGTGTGACACCTATCTTGCACAGATTTAAATGAAGGTGCTTTATGGACTAAATAAATGCAGACCAGCATTTGAACCTCAATAAAAATGAAAATATAAATTAAGCTGACTAAAATGAAATAGGAAAACATAGAATTACATAGATTGTTACAGTGCAGTGGTAAGTAGCCAGATAAAATGAGGTAAATAAATGTGCAGAAGAGAATTTTTAACAAAGAAAAAAATGTATTTAATTTTGATTTAAATGTGACTATCATTTGGGGCACATAGCCTACAGAATTACCAGGAGTTTACAGAGTACAACTAAATGTGATACTCTTAATGTATTTTATTGTAATGTTGCCTGCAACACTGATAGCTATGATACTTATTATCACGCAGCCTAACATTGTTTCCACAGACTCAGTAGAATAGCAGCGATATGCTGGAATATTATAGTCTAGCATTGACTTTTCATAAATATGTATTGAGAGAATGGCCATATCATCAAGATGTCTGAAAAGCTGTTTTAGCTGAACTGATACTGATCAACCAAATAAAAAAACACCCAACAATCTTCAGAAAAACAGTGGTATGACTGAGATATTAATAGCTTGTTTGAGCTTCATTACTGCATATTTTAACAAACAATGGGCTAAACATGATCAGTAACACACCAATACTGACCATATTTCTTTTGTATATGGTGATACCCTGTGCCGAAATATATTGTAGCCTATAATACACTCTTATGGTGTGAGCTACAGAAAGCAATAGAGCATGTACTGTCCTTGCCCCATTTTGTAACTACGGAAGAGTATTAGGGCCACTGCATAAATTTTTTTTAAATTTTGACTTTAGGGCCACTGCATAATTTTTTTTTTTTAATTCTTACTTTAATCTCAGAATTCTGACTTTAATCTCAGAATTCTGAGTTTAGTCAGATTTCTGAGATTAAAGTCAGAATTCTGATTTTATTCTCAGAATTCTGACTTTAATCTCAGAAAAATTACACCTTGAAAAATTATGACTATAATATAATATAATATAATATAATATAATATAATATTATATAATCCAGAAGGTGGCGGTAATGCACCTGCAAGCTGTTTGCCACCGACAATAAACAACGGACGAAGAAAAAAAAGGGAGGAAGAAGCAGCACCACTGGTCCCATCTTGGTTAGAGAGAGAAGGGAAAGGAACGCAAACCGTCCATATTACGGCTGCTTTGTCAGGTATCTAATTTTGTTTAATGACATTGCCATCTGTTATAAAACCTTACTAGGGTTTAAGTGTTAAGTTCCGTGCATATGAACTGCTTGAAAGACTGTTTGTCTTATTAATATCCGAGGAGTTATTCAGCCTCAGCTCGCTGACGAGTCAGCTATCCTGGCTAACACAGGTGTCGATGGACTGCTATACGCTAACGTTAGTTGTGCTAAACTCGCTAGCACCCAGTTAGTAACTAAAGAGCTGCGCTTGCAAAACGATATTTCGCCTTCCTGAATTATCCACAGAACTAATTGCTGTATTCTGGTGGCAGCGCAGTTAATTATTGCCAGGCACTGACATTTCAATTGCATCTTTTTTAAATAATGCTGACAACAAGATTGTTTCCTTTGCCCTGCGTTTATATGGAGAGGAACCTCCGTGTCCCGCCTCTCTAGAGCAGCGATTGGACATTTGGTGTATCAGTGATTAAAACTAGACTGGTTATTGGTGGATGACCAGGATGATAACAGCAGTTGTGTTGCCGTATTCTCTTGCCTTCAACACGGCCTTCCGTAGCTACTGTTGTAATTTGGCTAATATAAGTTAGCTAGCAGGAAGACTACGCTGTTATTAGGAGACTTCTCGACTATTCCTTGTAGCGAAAGAATTGAGCATTTATTCACATTTAATTTACATGAATTTATGGCGCAAGTCGTTTGGCTCAACTTCAACAAGATTACTGTAGCCTTACTCAGTCTGTTGTTGCCGGTGGAGTCTTTAGATAGAAAATTGATGGCGCTGTTTGTTGTCCTTGACTAACGTTAAAGATTAGTCAGGTAAGGCACAGGTAATCGATCATTCTAATTAGCATTTTATTGTTGTTGTGGCATCTAAAACAACTCACCATCCCCGGGAATGGCTGAGCAAAAGGTCTGTTCTTTCCAAAAGACAATAGAATAGCCATTAGCTTGTTTTGTTCTTGTTTTTGAAAGCTTCATGTAAAGCTAGCGGCATAGTGCCTAGCTTCAGATGACATTCCACCTCTTACTAACACCTTCACTCATTTGTTAGCACTTTTCATGGTGATGGACCCTCCTGGTGGGGGAGATGAACGGCGGAGGCAGGCAGAGCGTCTTCGAAGGGAAGAGGCATACTATCACTTCATCAATGAACTGAGTGAAGAGGAGTACCGCCTAATGAGAGACAGTAATCTGCTGGGCACCCCTGGTGAGGAGCAACTCATTTTGCTATGTTAAGGCACTGATTAAGATAGTCAGTTTAACCTTATTTCACAAATTTTCTATGTGTATGAAGTTTACAAAGTCTGTATTATGTCACAGTCATAATATATGATATTGATAATGTATGCCTCACTATTGGAGCAGGGATACTTCTTGATCCACTGCTGCTGACAGCATATAACATGGTGGATTTCCATATGTTTCATAGGGGAGGTGACTGCCGAGGAGCTACGGCAGCGTCTTGATGGAGCAAAAGAACGGGTTTCATCTCAGCCCCGTACTGAGCAGCACTTGCAGAGTGTTGATTCCGGAGAGCAGCAAAATAGTAGCACAGATGGAGAGGAGAGAGAGGCTGGAGGGAGACGAGGGGCAGGTAGGGAGGAGGTGGAGGTGCTTTTTTTCTATCCAGTCTTTTATGGCCTGACGTTCACTAGCCCCAGTGTAATATGGTTTAGGATAAATCACTACTGATTAATGAAGAACCAAGAAAAATAACATAAAACATGTCATAACTGGAGTTTGATAACAGTAAAACAGATGACAAACGCATGCCAGCTTTAACATTTAAACAAGACTGGTGTTTAGAGGGGACCCACTATATTTTTATGATTTTGTCTGATTTATGGTACTGTGCAAAAGGCTTAAGCCACCATAGTTTTTGTCCTTGGCCTCTTTGGATTCTTCATATTTCTTTATAACAGTTTAAATACCTCATCTTGACTATCCAGATGTGGTATTTAAGCTGTTATAATCAAGCTTGACTTGCTGCAGTCTTCTCATAAATGATAGGTTTTGCTTAGAAAAACATAATGCTGAAATAGCAATAGAAGAAAAATACATCGTGTAGCTAGCTAGCTGGCAGATGTCAAACCTACAGAGCTGGGTACAGCCAAGTGAATGCTTATGTGGTATCTAGCTAGCATACCACATAAGCTTGCATCCAGCTCATCCATTACCTACTTTTCCAGTTTTGTGTTGCACACTGCATGTGCCAAATTAGAAAACTTGGGAGATGCTCAACCAGCCGAAACAACACTAATGCGCATCGTGCATCAGCAGTTGTAGCCTCGCATATGGTGCTTGCTGCCAGCTCATGGGTGAGAATGTCAAGTATAAACTAAGCGTTGAAAAAGACAGAGGTAAAACGAGTTGTTTCAGACCAAGAGTGAAAATAGGTGCTGCAGAAATGGACATTATGAGGAATATAATTAGTTGTATAATAATATATAGTAATGAATATGACCCTGCAAATCCTGCAGAATATATTCTCTTTAAACATTACAAAAGAACACATTGTTCAACTACAAGTCTGGTTTAGCCTGTTGATAAATACGATGGAAGTTCTGGCTTTGAAAAAGGTGTGAAACAGCTTGGTTAAAAATGTCAGTGTTGTAAGAGTTACATTTCAGTCTTTAGTTTTTTATTTAAGGTTTTCTTATCATTTTAGGACGGATACATGTTAGTTTACAGTCTTACCGATACTTGTCTTTTACAGGGGATACAGAGTCTGGAGCAGAAACTTCTAATGGTGATTCACTGCTGGAGTGGCTGAACACTTTCAGGCGCACTGGTAATGCTACTCGCAGTGGACAGAGTGGCAATCAGACATGGCGTGCCGTCAGCCGTACCAACCCTAACAGTGGAGAGTTCCGCTTTAGCCTGGAGATCAACATTAACCACGATCAGCCAGAGCCAGGAGAGCATAATGACACTGTGGACACTGCAGAGCTGCCAGTGACTGGGCCAGACTCAAGTCCACCCACTTCACGGAGGAGGGCAGCAACACGGCGCAGGCGCAGAAGCACAACCACTCCTTCTGTGAGCCCCCCTGCATTGCCTCCACCAGTGCCACCCTCAGCTGCTGGCCAGAGGAGAGGTTCCACTTTGCACTCTATAGCACCACTTCACACTGTTCCCAGCCCTACTCTTGATCAAACTGCACCATTGCAACTTCAAGCCCTAAATGCAGAAGTGGATCAGGGTCGTGATGAGATGTTTGCTTCTATTGACTGTCCCCGTGTATCACCCCAGTCTAGGCCTCAGGACCCAACAGTTGAACATGTATCACGCAGGAGTAGAACTCGATCGCGTGGTTTTGTGCGCAGGGCTATAACAGGCAGTTGGGTTTCACCCCGCATGTTAAGGCGAAGCCGTTCCCCCTTGCACAGAATACCTGTTGCCAGTACCACTACACCATCTGGCAGTGGTATTAGTGGCTCTGTTGTCCAGAATGTTGAGCCAGGCAGTGGGATGAGCTCTGTGGCCCAACCTGCAACTTTAACGGAGACAGCAGAACGTGAGACTGAATCACATGTAACAGGAGCAGGAAGTTCAGCAGTCCGACGTCACCCAACTATCATGTTGGACCTGCAAGTGAGAAGGATTCGACCTGGTGAAAACCGTGATCGGGACAGTATTGCCAGTAGAACACGTTCACGTGCCCGAGTTGCAGAGAATACTGTCACATTTGAAAGTGACAGTGGTGGATTTAGACGCACCATCTCCCGCTCTGAGCGAGCTGGGATCCGCACTTATGTGAGTACTATCCGGATTCCACTGAGACGCATCAGTGAGACTGGACTTGGGGAGCCCAACTCCAATGCCCTGCGTTCCATCTTGCGCCAGATCATGACTGGATTTGGGGAGTTGAGCTCCCTAATGGAGACGGAGGCAGATTCTGAAAATGTTGTACCTAACCACACAGATGCTAGTGTCACAAACAGTGACACCAGCCAAGACGGTCGTCTGCATACGGTTGAGGGCACAACTGGTCAGGTTGGTATAGGTGGAGTAGGCCAGGAGAGACTAAGGTTGGTGGGAAGTGAGGAGGACCAGGGTGGGCAGGCCAGGTCTGGAGGAGGGGTAGTGAGCACTACCGAGGGACAGGCCACCAGCAGAGACACCAACAACCTGGTAGAAAATGGTACTCTACCCATTCTGCGGCTGGCACATTTCTTTTTGCTTAATGATGAGGAAGATAACGAACATCCTAGGGGCCTGACTAGAGAGCAAATTGACAATCTATCAACACGTATTTATGGTCAAACCAACCTGGAGGGGGAGATGAGTCGTGCGTGCAGCGTCTGCATCAATGAGTATGCCCAGGGCAACAAGCTGCGCCGTCTGCCCTGCTCTCATGAATTCCACATCCACTGCATTGACCGCTGGCTCTCTGAAAACAACACCTGCCCCATCTGCAGGCAGCCCATACTTGCAGTGCATCATGATTGACCTATTTGCTCACAAACACAACTACAATGTTGCAGGCTGGCTGAACAGAGCAGATCCAAGTGGGCTTTGCATGTACATAGCTCTTTCATGGTTTTGCCTCTTTGAAGCTATAAATTGCGTTAAAGGTAAAGAATGTTGCACCAAAATGGGAAAGAAAATAAATGCATCAATGCAAACATTTAACAGGTTTATTTTTTTTTTTTAGACTTTGGTTTCAGTAACTTATGTTTTTTTTCTTCTTTTTACCTGTTTTGATGGTCACAGCGCTTTAGAGGCCCCCTTCAATGGACAACATTAAATGATAATGTCAGTCATTTTTATTTTTTGGGAGGGTATCTTCCAAATATTCCATACAGAGACTAAAACCAACAATAGATTTTGTGTACTCACCATAATATCTGTGAATTCACACCCTGGTTTAGCTTATTCTTCTGTGCCATAGACCTCCATTGTTGTCCAGAATCGCTGACATTGTCCTTTAATGCTTAAGGAACTCCTGTAGCCACTACTGATTAGTCTCAATTTAACTCTTTATTGTCAGATACATGTGGAGTCTTTGTCACAAATGGACTACACAAATTACTTCTAGACTTGATTTATTCGGTATAAGCTGTAAATAAGTCACCAATGCTTGTATCTAAGGGTTTTGAAGAAAGATGCTCCTTACATCCCAGGAATCCTCCAGTTTCTTTTAACATTCACCACTTTAAAGTGTTCATTTACAGTTCATCAAGAAATCTATCATTTACTCAGCTGTGTATGAGCAATCTACTTTGAAATATGTTTTATTCTGCACATCTAGTAATATTTGCTTAAGCCCCATACACCTGTTCCATTCAGATCACGATACAAAGTTCATCCTTAAAAGTACCCACCATCATGAGCAACACTGAAATCATTAGCCTCGCCTATATGAACAGCACAATTCAAATGTAATGCAGAAGGTATGTGATAATCAATTCAATTTATCACAGAGTTGTGCGGTGTGGAGAGAAAAGATGGTATTGCTTAATGTTGGTCTTCATTGTTGTTTACATTAGTTGCGCCCAATTATCGTGTCTATTAAAAGCCCTGAAATCAGTGTTACCTCTTGGTTCTTGATATGGTTTTGGATCCATTGTTGTATCTGCTAAGGAAAAACTTGGAACATGAGTAATCCATTGTTGTATCTGCTAAGGAAAAATTTAAGGTTTAATTTAATTGTTGTCTGGCTAACTCAAATTATTGTTCACGAGATAGGTGCTGGAAGATTGTTGATGTTTGGAGCATCTGCTACAGTTCTGGCTCCAAAACTACATTTACTGCTAATAAGCTGCTAATGATTTGTCAACAACACATCTTCTCACAGTGCAACACTCCATCTGTAAGGCAGTCTTACAGGTATGATATTCCTGTAAATTCTTTGTGGTTTGTTTTTATGTTACATGCACCAATATGGGTGTTTCTAGTGTAGTACTGAACCACCTAGTCAGTGTGTTCTTACCACGGTCACTGTGTACATTGACAGTAACTGTACACAGGAGCTATTACATTTCTGGAGTTACATGTCACTAATAAAACTGTAGGAATGATGCAGATGTAAAAATGTGTGAGAGGGTGTTAAGCTTGTATGCATGTGAGTGTGTGGGTGCTGAAGGAAAGGTCCATTATCTAAATACAACTGGTTCCTTTCAGTGGATGTCCACCTTGGCCACTCAGTGCAGAAGTAAATATTTATTCTGTTCTTGTTTAATACAATGGAAATCAGCTTTTAAAATATGAATATGTATTATGTTACTATGTGATGAGTTAAAAAATTATGATATGTTACTATGTAATAAAACGAAGACTGGTTTTCTTTTCTGCTCCTTAACAATGAAATAAAACGCAGCTTTGTTATGCCTGGAGATCTAGCGTATATGGGTGTGGTACCAACAAATTGTTTGTATTTATCCAAACTGTGTTGAAAACATGTTTTAAACAAATCAATCACACCAATGTACAGAGAAGAAGTGTTTCCTGTTGCAGAATTGATTTTTAACAGTTTCTATGAAGGATTAATAGTTTCATTTGCTGGAAAATGGGGTCGCTTTAGGGGTGAGTGTTCTGAGCTTGTACTAGTTTGTCCTCCGCTAATGCTCCCATTGTCACCAACACTAGTTTTGAACTGCTAGTGTTGCTGTGTTGCTTAAATTTTCAGTGAATTATATTTTCTTCAAATTAAAAGTTGAATTATTAAACAATAGAACAAACCATTACTAAGTTTATATTCAGAGGCTTAGGTCTTAATGGCTATCTAACAAATATTAGCAAACTAAATGTTGCTTATGACTGAGTGAACTTCATGGCGATTGTTACAGGTTTTAGCATTTACTCTTATACCATTATTACACAGCTTGGTCAAGAGTTGTACACTTTAGCTCATTACTAAGTGTAAAATGTTTGTCTACCTCTGGCATGGACTATTTGCATCTTCCTCTAAAGAAAAGCATTTCATAATTAAAACTGCTAATCTTTTCTCTGCTATTATTTATTAGCCTAAATATTTTCTTTATAGCAGGTCTTAAAATAACCACAAGTTCGCCTTTCCTAAATACTGTTCGACTCATTAAAGAACTTTTTCAACAATATTTTTCTTGTTCTCTCACATTTCGCGTCAAGAAGCTGGGTACGCGCACGCATCTCATAATACGTTGCGCGCACCCGTGTCAATTTAACGGGTATCAGACAAGCCGGAAAAGATTGGAGCAGATAGTTGCCCTTCAAAATAAAGCTAGACAAATACTTTCTTAAACGCATTTAAAGCAATTAATGAGATGATTTCCATAATTTCCACCCAAGTGACTTCTGGTTTTGTCCTACAGAGAGTCCAAACCTGAAAGATATTCAACTTAAAATAATAAAACAAAGTAAACTAATAAAACGTAACGATCAGTGAAGTGGAGTTGATAATGTTTGGCTTTTTTTCAAAAAAATAATTAAGAAAATGTTTCAGCATTTTTGTTATTCTGTTGTAGATGTATTGATGTTGGTGAGTGCATTTAAAATATAGCATATTAACGCAATAAATACGCCCTTTCTTTGCTAGAAAATATTTGTTATAATAAAATAGCCTGTAAATTTAATTTATCTAATAAAGCTCAACTTAATCTTATCTAGTAGTATCAGATGAATTATCCGTAAACGGTGAAAGGGTCTTGAGAGATGGTGGTGAAAGTAGCCTACATTTGCTGTATTTCAGAACAATTTTGAGGTACTACCTGAATATTTTTGTTTTCATGCTACTTTATGCTTCGACTTCAATACATTTTAACGACAAATAATGTATTTTTATTCCTCTACATTCATTTGATAACTTTAATTACTTTTCAGATTCACATTAATAAAACAAAAAATTGCGTGATCATAAGACTTTATAGTAGAAAAGTCACAAGCTACACAGCAGAAATCCAAACACAGGCTATAAGGTAAAATTTGATCCACCTTTTCCATCTGTCGCATTACATGTGATGCATGCTTCAGTTAAATAATATAGGCCTAGATTATTAATGTGAAATGTGTTATTCTGCATAATGAGTAGCCTACGTCTACATTTGGTACTTAACATATATTTTGATTCTTATACGTTTGTATTTTTACTTAAGTAACATTTTGAATGCAGGACTTTTATTATTAGTAGTAGTATTTTTACAATGCATTGCTACTTTTACTGTTGTCGGGGAAAACGCATTTGAATACTTTACAAGACTGCTCATATTCCCCCTGTCTTTAGAGTAGGGTAAGGTGCTTTATTTTGAAAGCAGTGAGGAGAAGCAGCAAACTCTATATTCCGTGCACATTGACGCTGGATGGAGCTGTCCTCTATGATGTTACCGTCGCCTGTCTAGGCTACAAATGATGCTCCATGAGCATCTGCAGCAGCGATCCCCTGCTCTGCCGCTGAGCCGTGAGCATGCCACCCCTGCAGCTTCATCGTACCAGCCTCACTGACAGTCGTCCACCTCCAGCAAGATGTATTTCAACCGGAGAGCCAAGAAGATACACAGTGAGGGAGGTACGCATAAAGCAAACACTTGGGTTCATCTTTGCTCCACTAGGGATCCGCCCACCGCTTAGTTCGTGACCTGTCAATGTAAGCTGGTGGTTTTCTTACTGTTCAGATTTGGCCGGTCCTTACTGAGAATACAGAGGCCTGTGCACAGCTGATTTATATTTGATATGTGCTTAGCATATTAACTGTGATCGGTACTGTCCGAGACTGCGGCATGGTTGTGTTCCAGCCTGAGTCAGTTGTTTGTTTGGCACCGGGGATGCAAGGGCAAGCAGACTGCAGGTGCCTGTTTGAGGTTATTTTCTATAGCCAAATCACGTGTGCTGTGCCTTAACATCACGAACAGATGGTATATTTATTCCTGAAAGGGTGAATGTGACTCTGTGGTGTGACCTTATTGCTGTGTATAGAATGTACTGTATTTACCGTGGCATCATTTATTGTGTTCTGTAATATGGTAACAGTATGTTTTGACCTCCTTCTTTCGTATGATTCGCCTAAATATGGCGATTTACTGATAGTCTGTTCTTGTGTAATATGTAATGTAGTAAGCAATATAGTTCCATGTAATGTTGCATTTCAAACGTCCAGCAAAGCTCCTGCAGTTAAGTCCAAGAACAGCCTTTAACTTCACCGACTTATAAACCACGTGACTATTTAAGGAGAACTCCTGAGCCCTGCGGAAATGCGTCTCCCTCACCTTAAGGTCATCCACATCCAGAGCCCAGACAGGGGTGATTCAGGTTGTTGTACACTGTGGCTGTATCTGCTGGATGCTATGTGAACAAAGGTTTATTTATTTTAAATAAACCCCTTATGACAAACTGCGAGGTGTTGGCTACAGTCTCACTTTTTGGCAGAGAATGCACCATCTTCTCCTCAGAGTTGGAAAGAGGATGGTGTATAAACAAGAGGCTGCGTTGGATGATTTCACACAGGGCACAGAGACATCGGATTGGATTGTCCTGGAAGAGAGGAGCATGTGTTTGATTCATCCAGATACTGTTACTAGTGACTGGCACATGGGCTGCATTGCTGTCCTTTCTGTATATTTGTGTTTGCATGCCTATTGCAGCTTCCAGAAATAGAAAGCAGGGCACATTGTGAGCATGATGGGCATCAACTGAGCCATGCTGTCTTGAGGCCAGAGGTTCCCTGATCTTTATTTGTTGTTAAAAGAATGTACACAACTGGTCATGAGGGTCCATATTCTTACCAGAGGAAAGGTCAACAGTTAAAAAGCATTCAGCCTTAAAAGGTTGAAGGATATCTATGGCAGTATAGTGATAAAGGGGACAAGACTCTTCCTTTTACCCATGGTATTTTTAATAGAATGTTAGATGGCCTCTTAATGAGCCACACATTAACAAGTCTGTTGCGTGATATTGATCTCGCTATCTAGCGGAACAATTATGAGATTTCATTCTTTTTTTTTTTTTTGTTTATATTAGAACAATTAGTGTGAGACTTTCAGTAACACTGGTGGAGACCTTTTTGGTTTCACTGGGTCTAAACAGTGTATAAGAGTGTTCAGCTCAGCCATATTTATAGCATGGAAATGAATTGGTACTCGTAGAAGAACATCATTCAGCATGTACATGTGATCCCTCCTGGACTCGATGTGTTGACTGTACTGTAATCTCTAGGAGCCTGACCTCATGATTCTGTGCTCCAATTAGCAAGCTGCCATGTCCCTGGTGATGACGTCTGCAGCTGCCAATCTGCCACATTTATTCACACATTCTCACAAACACAGTAACATTTTTTTAAATTTAAAATAAGTAGTTCTCGTACCACTTTTTATACTCACAAATACACAAAGCGATTTTCACATTGGTTGAGAAAGCAGGATGTACTGTAGAAGAAGTATTTAAATTATGTCACAATACAAAGCTAAACCAAAGGTAATTAAGATGCCTTATAGTCTTTGTCTTGAATATAAGGACACCTCTTGTCCCAGTGTTGGTGGGTCTAGTTATGTGAATCATGCAGCTCAACCAGCTGTCAACAGTATGCCTGTTTTGGGAAGATAATGATCGGTCGTCATGGCTGTGAGCCACTGAAGATGCCATTTGGGAGATAAAGAGGTCTAAATAATTGCAGAAACCAGGTAATTACACCAGCTTGACACACGGGGGCAATCCTGGGCAAGTCTACTGCTACTGCTATATGCACAGTAACTACCAGAGATGCAGCTTTCATTTGCAGGCATGAATCTCATCTCACTATTAGTGCTTCCAGTGACAAGCACATACAAACACATGCATTGACACATAGATATCTTGTGTGTGGTGTGTGTATATTGACTTGTTGTCTTGTGTGTGTTGTTTTCTCACGCCGCGGCCTCTCTGGCACCCACAGAGCAGTTAGTGTTGACCACCATTAGGCAGGAGGCTTCTGAACTGCAGGACCCAGGCCAGGGCGCCAGTGCTACCATGCGTGCCCGCCTCACAGACAGGTTTGACAAAAGTGAGTCTGCTCAAATTAGACTGGATGATGCCCTATTTGTGTCCAGAGCCCCAAGGTGCATGCGGCCATGCCAAGTGCAACAGCTAGGAGCAGCTGACTCCCATGCTTGGCCCTGGTGGTTGGGAGTCAGCTGGTTCTTGTCTGAAAGAGTTAAGATGTGATATTACTGCTGTGGACCCTGAATAATCTGTAGCTCCTTGGGGCCTGGAGTGATGAATGCTGAACAGGAATTAACCCTCTCACTGCATGTGCTTGTAGATAGTGAGGTGTCCACCATGCCACACCATGGTGATGAAGACAAACGTATGTGCACTGGGGTCTTTAAGCAGATCCTTCAATATGAATACATATGCATGCTGTAAAAGACAACACATGCATGCATGGGCATGGCATGCCTGAACAGACATGTACATGAGCACTGCTGCATGCATGTATGACACACAAGTGACTGTGAGCAGGAATTAGCGAGGTGGCGGGGGAGCAGCTGCATGTAGGGGCCTTGCATGTTTTCTGCCTTGAAAGAGAGAGTGTGTCTATAATCCAGTGTCACGGTGTGAGTATGTATACGTGAATATGCACATTTGTTTAGTGTGTGTGTGTCTGTGTGTGTTGCAGTCTCACCTGTAGGATTATCAGGTTATGGATTAGCAGCAGGTGAAGTTGCAGAGCAGACACACAGGGGATTATCATGCTCACTCGCTTGGCCCGTAAAATGTTTCTTGCTCTACTTCTTTCTCTGTTATGGGGGTGAATGAACCCACTGGGAATGCGTGAGACCAGGTTTAGCAGAACCTGCAAATAGGGCCTGGAGACACCAGGACAGCCATGGGATGTGGGGGTCACCCAGGCAGACGACACTCTGTAGGTAATGCTTTCCTGACCACACAACCAGATTGTGACCTGTGGGGGATTTAATTCAATTAAAGTTGCTGATATAACTGAGGTAATCGTGGGTTAGCATTAGCCCAAGAACAATATGGTGGTGCCTTTGGCTGTTAGAGGATTAAAATCTGAGATGTTTCTGTTAATGGGCAATGGTTAAACTTGGTCAAGACGGAGACAAAACGTGATGGGATTATGTATGCTCTGATTTGCTGATGTTCATTTAGCTGCCCAAATGCAATTGCATCTAAAATGTTTTGACAATTTTCAGATGATAAACATGTGGAAACAGCCAGAGAATCTGTCCTCAGTGTGGCTTGTGGAGGTGGGAATGGCTTGACAACTGGGGATAATTTCAGATATTCTTCTAAAACTGCGGCTATGATTAGCTATTTTCTTTCTGACTCATTTCATCTCTGGGCTGTTCTTTAGAAGACAGAGAGACGATGCATCTCTCTGTTTGACATGATTGTAACCATCTCACAACCTGCGTTTGTGGCACTTACAACACAGCTCTGGCAGTTGTGGTAATTGAAACTGCCGCTGAGGGAGATGCGGTGACGGGGGCTGACATGAGTCATTTATTGAGTAAAGACTGAGGCACAGCACTGACAGAGTCTATGGTGAAATATGCTCTGCCATACTGGAAAATGTAGATGAATTATGCAGCTTGTCTCCATCCATTATTCAGGAGCTCAGCCAGTGGAAGTTTGGTACCAAGCCAGGGCATCTTTGGCTCAACACAAGACATAAAGTTAATACTCCATATACAAATGACATCTTCTGGATTTAACTGTATTCACTTTCACAGTTTTGCCCTTGTTCTGCTAAATGGAGCAGGTCCTTTCATCTGTCCACTTTGTAAAATATGTTTGGTTAAATAGGCTTATCCAATAGTTGTAAATTACCATCACACCCAGTGGCAAGAAATCACTTTATTCTGCAAGAAGCCAGAACATTTTCCTCCATCCAGTCTTCATCGGTGTCAGCCTCACAGTGCAGCTGCTTCTTTAAACATTGCACACAGGTGAAACCTCGAGTTAGTGAGCTGCACCTGGTTGAGTAATCATGAGTGAAACAAGCTGGGCTCTGAGAGCACCGGTAAAAGTGACACTATGTTCAAATCCATGTAATAATTATCCATTTTTCCATAAACAGAGCTCGTATTGTGGAGCTCAGGTATCCACCGATCAGTGAACGGCTTCACGCCTGATGTTTGCCGTGCATGCTTGAACATCAGTGCCTTTTTGATGCAGTTAAATTAGAAAACCTGCTGTCTGGCTTTACATAGGTTTGATGGCCGAATAAAGTGATTTTGTTCTATTGGGCGCAATCCTAATTTACAACTATTGTATAATATTACTGGGACAATGCACCGATTTCTCCTGAGTACATAAATGCACACACTGTAACCATTCAGCTGACAAGGCGCCCTGTATAAGTTTTTTTTAAGAAAAGGGACACGTCTTGTTTATACCACAGCTGGGTAGCTGGCAGTATCATAGCATAGGATCGTGGTGTCTGTTGAAGGAAGACAGTCTTAACCTCTGGCTACAGGTTATCAGACCTACGGTACCTGTCTGGCTAGCCTGGATGCTTCATGTGTAAGTGATCTGACTGTGCTGATTCATCAACAGCAATGGGTTACAGAGGTGACTGTACCTCTGCTCCATCACAGGTAAAGAACCGAGGCATTGATCTCATCAGAAATGAATAAGAGCCAAAGTGGGTTGCTGAGAAAGCCACTATTGATCTGCTTAGAAAGGTAGAGTCCACAGGGGTTAAAAAGTGCAGGGGTAGCGTATAAATAGATTTACAAGCACAGAAATGAACAAGGTACTGAAAAAGTAGATAATACATGATGAAGAGGGAAAAGTTGCTTAGTGACAGGAAAGAAGATAAAGTGCATTGCCCTTGACTACCTTTAACCTTGTATCATCCTTAATCATTTCCTTAACAATCCATCTCTATCTTGATTGACCGCAGCGCCGTTTGCGGTGTGGAGTGCTGAGCTATGATTGTGACTTACATTTCTGTTAGGTCTGGAGGTAATAACCTGGTGAGAGATAGAGATGAGAGATAGGCTGCTCGTGGATCATTTTGCTTACAGAGACTTTGACCCTTGCTCTCTGCATTGATTTTGTGGGCTGGTGTGGAGTTGTATTATATAAAGGCTGGAGTTTTTAAACAGTGTAAACTGTTTACTAAATGTAAACTGAAAGTTTGTTTACTGTAAAAACACACAACTTACTGTCTCCTTCAGTGAAGAGGTGGAGGTCTGATGAGTCCGCTGTGATAACAGTACACCCAGCAGACAAACCTGACTGGCTTATGTCTCTGTAATTTTAGAGGGTTGTTGCCTACTTCAGGCTTGAGTGCAACATAATGATATTAACCTAATTTTGGTTAATAATGAGAGGATACAGTGACCCGTCTGCGGTAGGATAGTGCTGCGGGTATAGAGTTTTGGGTCTGTGCAAATTCAGTCTGCTAAACCCTGCCAGTGCATATTCCTTTCTAATTTATTTATGATTGGCCTGTTGTTATTTTCACTTACAGGCTCAGACAGACACACAATATGCACAGATCCCAAAAAGGGGTACAACTATTGCACACAAATAAGAATCACTTAATAAATCATAGGAGAAAATGAGTGCTTAAAGGAATATTGTAACGCATATAGTAATGTTTAGTGATGCATATGAGCTGTGGATTAACAGTTAACAATGGGACGTTACAGTTAGGCTAGAAAAGTCTTTGTGGGCACAAAATATTATCAGGTCTACCTGTGGCTTAGCAGAAGGGTGGCACCTGGCTCTAGGTAGACCAGCCGGTCACTGCTGTTGCACATGTGGCATCGGTGGAAGAGGAAGCCACACGAAGTGATGTCCTGATAAGTGGTTTCTGCTCTAGGGATGCCATTTGACCCATCTGTGTCTTGCCACAAGACCTTAAAGCGATATGAGCCTTCTTGCCCTTTAAGAGCCGAGCCCCGGCTTTGTCCCTCCGCAGTACCGAGGGAGCTCCACATGGCTTCCTCTCGCTGTCTGAGCGAGTAGAGATGGGCAGCACAGCTTCGAACTGGAGGCAGGATTGCCCAACAGACGGCGAAAATAGACGGCAGGTGGCCAGATGACACGGCGGCGGAGCTTGGCGCCAGTATCTTTCACCAGGACTGGGAGCCTCCTCTTCATTAAAGTCGAGGGAGCAGAGAGGAGGCAGGGGCGTGCTGCTGCATCTGTCCTTGCCCGGGTTCGCCGTTGTTGTGCCAGCTGAGTAAACTGTGGCATCCAGACCTGTTAACATTGCTCTCACTTCCCTACTGTGCCTGCAGAGCCTTTACATAGGTGCCGTGGGCGCAGTCGAGGATCAGTAATGACCTGCTCCTGGAGCTGATGCGGGGGTGAACGAGCGGAGATCACGACGCTTTAAAATGGTTGGAGATGATAAAGCTAGCGAGTCAGGGAGTCTGCAGGAAAAAAAACGTGTTGCATCTTCTCCTCTCACTTTTTTTGGGATAATTCGTGCGTGGAGCGTAATGACAGCCGCGATGTGCGCCGCGCTGTCAGTGTGGACAAGTTGACGTGCTGATAAAACAGACAAACCCGGAGTTGTTTGTTCGCCATTGTGCATCCCTCAGCATATAGGCTGGGTTCCCGTGGGTGTAGGCAAACCCGCGTGGGCACACTGACGCTACCTGCATAATAATAGTGGAACACACAAGGGGTTGTTTGGAAACGTCAACGAATCGACCGGTTTCAGCATAAATCAACAATACAGCTTCATCTGGCACTGATCTGTCGCCTTGCTTTTGAACTGTAAACCACGTCTTCCGTCTATGTCTCTGCCTCTCTCCCTCCCTCCCTCCCCCTTCTCTCTTCTGTCTCTCTGTCTCTCACTCACACTCACTCAGACTCACCTCTCTCCCATCAAACCAACGGTGCAGGACCTGCTTGCTCGTCCTCCGGTTACCGCAAGGCAGATGATGAGATGTCCGGGGCCACTTCCCAGGCGGATCCACTAGACGCCACGGCGCGGACAGTGCTGCTCAATCGGACACAGACCACCAAGTTCTGCGACAACCATGTCAGGTAGGTGTAACTCTGGGCTTTATCTATCAGCTGGCTGCACCTTGTGTAATGATGCATGTGTTGCTTTAAACGCACTGATTTTTGCTGTGGGTGTACTCTGTCCAGCTGATAGTGGCCTCTGAGCTGCCTTACACAGTGAAACGAATTAAATGTAGCTTTGTCTGCCAAATGTTCATATGAATAAACACTTAACAAACCAGCTCAAAGTACACATGATATCAAAGTTATGAAACCTCGGGTTGTGTTTTCGGTTTTGTTTTTATGTAAAGCCTGATAGGCTTATCCTGACTATGGTTGATGTAATGCAAAATATTTTTCACTTGCAGCCTGTTTTATGTAGGTGAGAGTGTCTTGCTAAAGGCCACCGGCAGTGGATGTTTGCCCACAGGAGCTTTGCACCCATGTTGGCTGGTTGAAGGACATTACAACCTGTTTCTTTCTGGGGGATTTTTGTCGTTGGCTTTGGACCACTGACATTTAGTTTGTATTTTTCTTCTTAAAATTTTCTTTGAAATCATAGTAATGTAAAAAAAAAAATCATGTTTTTCTTTGGTTTCTACAGAAACTCTGTTGATAAGGCCCTTTAATAACTCACCTATTAGGTGATTATTTGTAGCTCTGCTGCTGTCCCAAAGGGTGAGGCTGCCGTACGTCACTGCGTGAAGTCCACTTGAGAATCTCGGGAGAAAAGTGCTTGGTTTAAACAGCCTAACATGACCGTGCTGCTTAATCAATATGCTCTCATGCATATTTAAGGATGCCAGTAAAAGTCAAGTAACTACCTTTATGTGTTTATATAAAGTATAGAAAGCACTAGACCTGCATCCATTTGACAAATTGTGAAGGGTCATTGCAGAATGAGTGGCCTGGTATTTCACCAAGGATAGAAGATGTCTCATCTGATTCTTCAGGACTCAGTTAAATGCTGGACGTGTGATTCTCTTAGTCACAACCTTCTGTCATCTGAGCAGTTTAGAGAAAAGAATAAGTGGGCTTCACATCTTGAACCACACTTCATAACAGTATAATTATTTCACATTTTGTGCTAGTGTGTCTTGGTGGCCCCTCATGTGAGTGAATTTTCTGCTTGTATCTCTTTTATCAACAACATGCAGGCATGTTTAATGTGTCTGACTGTAGTCATAAATACTAAGTTGCCAAGGCAAACAGTATTAGACTTTGATTCGGAGAAACGCCAACATAATTTGTCCCCGGCTTTACTTTTTATAATCCCTGTTTGTATGGTGCCATATGAAGCACTGAGCTCATGTTCTGTGAGTGGAAAGCTTCCTGGGTGTCAGTTGACATTCAGTGGTCTTGCCATTATTGTCAGGAGATTGAATTTCACTTTTAAAAGAACCTATTTCAGCTCTCCAAATAAGATTAAGGCTCCCTGGCTCATCTGATTGGATCATGCTTAGTGTCCTGCCCACGCTGCATGGTGATTGGAACGTCAGGAGCACTCTGCCTCCAGAGAGAGGTGTGCCCTCTAATGTCCCTGTGTTCCTGTAACTCTTTGTTAAGGTTTTAAAGGTTTAATAGCCATATTGATTTTTTGATATTAAAGCATTGCAGCTTTTATCTGTATGCTCAACTTGCATCCTCCCTGTTTCCCAGGTCCTACTCTTCCATACTTCATTGTACACAGTAGGTTTTATACAACAGGCACATAAGTAATACTCTCCTGCTTACACATGCAGCAAAATAATCAGCTTATCTTTTTTTTTTTTTTTTTTTGAAAAAGACACTTGCATTTTCAACAAATCTACCTGCCTGTGCCAGACTTCAGCCCAGTGTTTTCTTTTGGCCTTTTACTGTATGAGGAATAATAAATAAATAAATCAATAAAAACACAGCCAAGCCATGCTGCAGCAGGGGAGCATCCCCCTGCAGCTAACAGCTGTTAACACCACAAGCGAGTTAGAAACCTACAGTCTGAAAAAATAACACAGCCAGATGTTTCTGCCTTTTTTCCCCCTGGTCCAGTGGAAACGTGTGCATCGATGTGTGAATTTGTGGAGTTTGGTATCACTTGTGTTTGATTAGATTAAGGCAACTTTATCTGTGAGATCACAGGTGTGTAGTATCACTAACTCTGGTATCTGGAGTATCAGAGTCAGGTCATGGCGTGTGTCTGTGTCTGTGAGTAACGGCTGTTGTTACCCTGTTCTGTGTGTAATGACTTGCTCTTTCTTGTTTGTATGAGTGCGACAGACAGAAAAAGTGGTTATGGGTCCATCTTCTACGAGACTAGAAACCATGATGGAAGGGTGTGTGAACATGGTGCACTCACCCACACACAGACACGCACTGTCCATTAAGCAAAAACATTGTTGAAATTCACTCAACAGAGGGAATAAACAAGGCTGGCCTTGACTTGAAGGTTGACTTTTTTTTATTTTTAGCCTCTCTAAAAGCTCTTACGGTAGCTCCTGACTATAAGAAGACTAATCAATACAGTTGTCTGATCAATACAGTTGATTGACAGGCAGGTTGAGGTTGCCAAGGTTTCTTGCATCTATTTTCTGGGGTTCTGGGTCTACTTTTAGATTGCTGGATTAAAGCTATTGGTCTTTTTTATAGGTGTGACGTGTGTGTGCACCTTGTAATGGCCCTGTTTGGTGCCTCTGGGCACAATTGAGTGTTTCCTATAGATTTTCAAGTGCTGCAACATTAAAACTCAAATGGAGTCTGTTTGCTATTCAGCCTTGAAGGTAATGCTGTTCAAGCATAACGGATTAAAAAACATTAGCACACAATTTATGCATGAATTCCTACTTTTGCTAATGCACTACCTGGCTCTGCCTTCATCTGTCTGAAACTATAGATGGTGTAACATCTGCCTTCTTCTTGTCTTTTTCTGCAGTACCACCAAGTACGGGGTCCTCACCTTTCTGCCACGGTTCCTCTATGAGCAGATCAGGCGGGCTGCCAATGCCTTCTTCCTTTTTATTGCACTCATGCAGGTAAATCCCATGCACAAAACAGTAACAACAGCTCTAAGTGCAGTTGAGTGATGCTTTTTTTTGTTTCTTATGATTCTGGCCTGCACAGGCTTTTAGTAGATAGATCCTGATAGGGCCTAAGTGTTAGATAAAAGGGAAGACACACAAACATGAGTCTGAAATAGTTAGAATAGAAGCAAAGCCCTCCTCTTTGGCTCAACTAGTGAACATCTTAGAACGATGGGCTTCACAATCCTCCATGACCCTCTAAACATGGACCTTAACAAAGCAAAGGCTTTGAATGAGAAGCAGCCCATTCAGACATGTAATGATGTTTTCTCTGAGGGGCATTTTAACCTAGGTGACAGTGTGGTGTGGTGCCAGAACAGTCTTCACCTCGTAATGTTCAAGTGACACTAAAGGAAACTGTGAGGGCACAACTACTGTAGATACACATGAGAAACCTCCTGATTGCATTGGTAACGTGGTTATAGTCCAGCAGGCAGAAACGCTGAGACCTGCATTAACCCCAAGCTCCTAAACCATGCACTAAAATATCCCATTACATGCTTCCCGCCATTGAAGATGGTTTCCACAAACTGCATGCAGACATTATTGTGGATGCCCTTAGTGCATTTTTGCTCTGCAGACTGAACAGGGAGAGCAGCCTTCCCATTATATTCTGGACACTGTGGTGCAGGAAGTGATGGCTTAAGCTGCCTTTCGTCGTAAAGAGCATGAGCTTCTGTCAGGCCTCAGTGGGGTGAAACCCATAGTAGATGACATCATCATACTGTAGTAGACTATGGTGAGACCGATGAGGAAACGATACAAGGGCACAACATCACGCTGATTGCACTGATAGAAAGGTGCATAGAAGTCAAACTGCAGTTTAGAGCCAAGGAGGTCAGATTTCATGGATACATTTTGACAACACATATGCTGAGACGTTACCCAGAGAAGGTGAAGGTAAGTCAGGACATACACCACCTCACAGATGCAAAAGGAGTACAGCAGCTGATTGGCTTTGTTAATCACCTTTCCAAAGACGTGCCATGACTTTCTGTGGAGTCTGTTTGACGGGGATGTGGCCTGATCTGAGATAGTACAGTGCAACAAATCCATGGAGTCACTGTTTGGAGTGATGCAAGCCATAAAGACCTGTGGCATGGTCTTCAACAGGACGATCAGCCAGTGTGCCTCTTGTGCACTGTCTCAGGCTGAACAGAACATTGCCCAAATTCAGTAGGAATGCCTGCTCTGAGCAAAGATTTTTCTTGCCTGAAATTTCCCTATTACTTGTACAGCAGGGGTGAGATTATAGTAGAGACAGACCACAAGCCACTGATGGCAATATTCAACAAGCCCATCCTCTGTGTGCCCAGGCGGCTCCAGATTATGCTACTCACACTGCAGAATTACACTTTCAAAGCAGTGCACGGGTCAGGAACAGACATGTATACCAGTGGCACCCTCAGCAGAGCAACAGTACACATGCCACTTTATCTGCAGCCTCCAGCAAGCACAGGGGGATCTCAAAAATGTACACGAGGCAGACTGTCTAAATGTCACAAGTCAATTCCTGACTCGTATCAAAGAAAACGCTGAGTAGAATGAGAATCTACAGAGGCTGAAGTTGGTGGTTCTGCAGGGTCGGCTTGAATATACAGGTACTTTTCAAAAGTCATTGTGTTATTGTGGCAATAATCCTGCACTCAGAATTGCCAGTCGAGAATGCACTTGAGTTGGGTTGGAGGAGATGCCAGCTATAGACAGACATGCTGTCCTAGCCTAATGTCAGAGTCTTTGTCAGTTAGTCCTTAGTGTGGAACAAACATCTGCACTGACAACAAAAAGAAACAGCGGTGCCGCACACACTACAGCTAATGTTTTTCTTTGTACTCACTGTGATTGCCCATTATGGATGCTTTAAGGTACTCAAACACTCTCTATTGCGATGATTTCTGAGTGATGCCTCTCTTGACTCTCATCAGCAAATCCCTGATGTATCACCGACCGGTCGCTACACCACGCTGGTCCCGCTCATCTTCATCCTCACCGTGGCCGGGATCAAAGAGATCATAGAGGACTATGTGAGTACCACAGCCACATGGTCCGAAGCCTTTAGCAACTTTTTTTTTAAAGATAAACAGATGGAGAGAGTATTTTTGATTTATCCCAAAGGGAAATTTCAGTGTTGCAGCAGCCACCAAATTCACAGAAACTACAAGGTATGTAAGGAATAGAATTAAAGCTTAATGGTATACAAAAGCTAAATACACTATAAAATAAAAAACAAAAAGACTAGAGAGTAAAACACACTGTAAATATTTGGTGAAAGTCAGGTGGATAATCTTAAAAAAAAATGTAAATCCAAAGTTTTATTTTCTTGGCAGTGATGCAGAAAGAGAAGCACGGGTAAAGTCTCCTGTAATTTGGCTTTGAAAGCTTTGTTTGTAGCCTAATGGAGTTTATGGTGTCTCACACTATATCAGCAGCAGCTGATGGCAGGAGGTAAACAGCACCAGCAGTGGTGCACGTGAACTCTCTCAGCAGATAATATGGACGTGTACTCATCGCTAACAGTTCAGTGTCTGGGCTACACATTTTTTCATGGTAACATGTCCAGGATTGCACCATCTGTTACTTACAAGCACTGCAGTCATCCCTTCTCTCTCCTCGCTGCTCAGCCTGCTGTCTCTTGTCGGCCCATGCAGTCTGAAAGCCAGTGATGGTGGAGTTGGAGTTTATATTTTAAACTTTCTAACAGTTTATTGCATCACCATATTGTTCAACGATTTGAGACATAAGAATGTTTTATAGAAAGGCAGAGTGTGCGCTTTGATGGAGGTGTGCTAGATATGGCATGGTGCAGGCAAACAGGTTTTTATATCAATATCTTATGACAAATTATTTTGGTCTATTCCAAAAAAAAGAAGTCAGAGTCCTTGTCTCTAACTCCTGAGTCCAAATGCAGTCAATGCTCAAGTCCGAGTCATCGGTGCTCAAATCCAAGTCGAGTCTTGAGTCCTGAAAATCCGGACTTGTGTACTACAACACTGTTTCCTGCAGCCGTGTCTCAGTAAAGCACACAATACTGCATTCCTGATATTCCTGCTCAGTGATCTTGTCCATTATATTCACCAGGGACTTGACTCTGTCCTCCTCATTCTCTGTTTGGCTCTGGCATGGCATCCCTGGCATCTTCTCCACAGCTCATTGGGGATTTGTGGTGTCCCTTCTAGCAGTGTGGGTTTGGAGAATATGATCAGCTGCCTGGGCAGGTGAACAATACCCCTGCTCCTATTGGCATGGCTTCCCAGCACAAAAAATGTAAAAAAAAACAAAACAAAAAACATCAACTAAACAAAAAAGCATCCTTTCAGGTACACAGTATACAGTCAAGGGTGAAAAAGCAGAAGGTGGAGAAGATTACCCACAAAACACAACACTATTACAGGAGCTACTGCAACAGGCTGCTGCTAGAGCGGCGCCATTTTAAAATGCTTGAAGGTTTGAAGAGGGGGAGAGGTGCAGTATATCCAGTGGTTACCTTGAAAGCTGATGCATCTTCATCTGTATCTTTGCAGAAAAGACACAAGGCAGACAACACCGTCAATAAGAAGAAGACAACAGGTAACCAGCTGTCTGTGCCCTTTTCCATGAGTGTGTTTGTGGGGGTTTTGTTTTACAGCTGAGTGAATGGCTTTTGTCTATCACTCACATATACTGTGGACCACAGAAGCATAGACAAACATTTAATCACTATGAATACTGTATGAGAGCTGCTCCACAGTATAACCTGATTGATGACTGTGTTGTCACTGTCTCTCAGTGCTGCGGAACGGAGCCTGGCAGACCATCATCTGGAAACAGGTATCACTGTCATCACAGACTTCATCGCTCTCTCGCTCGTCACTCTTGTGCTTTCTCTTTCTCTCAGTCACTTTAACACACTTTATAAGCAGAAATGACCTAGAATACTGTAAGAAGCCTCTAAGAACTACAAGCTGAATGGAGGTATTTCTGCTGACAGAGAAAATTGCCAGAGAATTAGTCAGATACCCCCAGATAAAGAACAGAAAGGCAATACAGTCTGGTTAAAAATAGAGCAAAGACAACAACAAAAAATACAATGGCATGTTAAATTAAATATGAACTGTTTTTACATATTGTATTTTATGTAGGCAAATATGCAGCATGTTCTCCCCGTGCTTGCGTGGGTTCTCTCCGGGTGCTCCGGCTTCCTCCCACTGACCAAAGACATGCAGCTTAGGTTGATTGGTGTCTCTAAATTGCCCATAGGAGTGCGTGCATGTATGTGTGGTTGTTCGTCTATGTGTTAGCCCTGCGATGGATTGGCGACCTGTCCAGGGTGTACCCCGCCTTCGCCCGATTGCTGGCCGGGATTGGCTCCGGCCCCACCCGTGACCCCGTTCAGGGACTTAGCGGTAGAAAATGAATGAATATGCAGCATGTACTTCTTCAAGTGCAATATGATACTTCCTAGATCTACTGTCTAGAGCAGGATTTAGGCCCCATTGTTATTCAGGCTCAGTACAAAGAAACTAGTCCAGCTGCTTTGCTGTGTCCCTAAAATGCTCCATTTTCTCCTTATCTGTTCCATATTTTAGCTTAGTTCTGTCTCTACCTATAAAATAACTCTACCCACAATGACTTTAGAGAACTTTGTAATTCCTCCTGCTAAGAGGAGTCACACACCTTTTTCAAAACAGTAGATCATGGCAAAAGTCCTTCTGTACTTCGCACGTGATGACTAATTACATGGTGCTGGATCAGCAGAGTAACGATCTGGTAGAAAGCCATCAGAATAGTGCTGCGGTAACTGTTAGCCAGGATTGTGGCAGTTATTGGAGTCAAGCTTATCTCCCCTTCTGTGTACTGGAAGTAGTATCTGTCTGCAGATCTCAGGACAACAAGCAGCCTGAAGAACCAGATCAGATAGCTTAGACCATACCAGATGCAGCACACTGACTGTGTTTGAACCTGTCTCTTCTGCATGCTCTCACAGAGCTCGGGTTTCTGATGTTGTCATATAGTTCTGTCTTTGTAATCAGGGCTTTTTACTTTTTCTCAGTCATGTTCATGTCATGTGTGGAGTGAGCTACAGTTTTGTAATGTACAATTTTATAGATGCTGCAGCACTGTCCTGTGTCTGTTTGAACTGAGGTGTCTCTTCTTTCCTATTTTGTTATTTACATACCTGTAATCTTTCAGCCTGATCCAAGCAGTGTACACTATGCATACTCTGCTCACTGTCACTTTATCTCATGTCTCTCTCTCTCTCTCTCTCTCTCTCTCTCTCTCTCTCTGGTGGGTGCACCTTGGCTGGCAATTTAATAATCCCTCTGTTGTTTCCATCTTCCTTCTGTTGCCCCTTACCCTCTCTTTGAACTCCCCTTTTTCTCTTTCCCCTACCTTTCTTTTTTCCCTCTTATTATTGCACTACTGCGCCCTGGCCACAAGGTGGCAGTAGGAGACATAGTGAAGGTGACCAACGGCCAGCACCTTCCAGCTGACATGGTCATACTGTCCTCCAGGTCAGACTCTAGAGCATGTGTTTGTGTGTGGCCATGCAAATGCATTCTAATCACTTGTTGTGTGTTGTGCTACTTTTTAACACTGCAACTACCGATTATTTTGTCATCAATCAATCCACTTACTTTTGTAATTAATCAATTGCTTACTTTATAACTAGTGTTGTCTTAAATCAAAAGCATTCAATTCAAAACTGAATGAAATGTAAAGTACACAAATATTTTGATTTGAGAAACTGCTAACACCAATAATTGAATTATCATTATTTGATATTCACAACTGTTAGTGATTAATTGACATTACGATATTTTGATAAACTCTGCCTCCTTTCCACAGCGAGCCACAGGCCATGTGTTACACTGAGACCTCCAACCTGGATGGAGAAACCAACCTAAAGATCAGACAAGTACAATATCTGTTTGCACGAATTCTGCACATGGTCAGCGGCAAGAAGCATGTGTTGTACAGACATTATAGACCCTAAAATACAAAAATTCACGACTGTGGCGGGTCACCTGCATTAGGAGCTGTTAATCCACCTGAAAGGAAGTGAATAATTTAGGTGGCACTGGAGACTGTGTTCTTTTGTTATTGTTTGGATTCAAATGAACAAATTAATTAAAGTTGTAAAACATTTGAATCAGCTTTCAGGACTCCCTCACAGTCCTCACACTTGCATCTATGTGAGCCTCACACAAAATCTGATCATGTCTCTTGTTCATTCCCTCTGTCTTTCCATATCCTGTTGTTGTTTGTGCTTGACCTGTTTTGTTTGTCTTTATGAACCTTACTGTACTTTGTGCTAATCCTGTTTGGTAAAAGTGTTTCCTGACTAAACGGTCCCTGCCTTGTCATGCTTAATGTTTTTCAGGGTCTCTCACTCACAGCCGGTTTTCAGACCCTGGAGGATTTGATGGTGCTGTCTGGTTTTCTGGAGTGTGAAGGCCCCAACAGGCACCTGTATGACTTCACTGGCACGCTGCGGCTGGAGAACCAGAAGTGAGAGGGTTTTTTTCTAATCAATTTACTTATTGACAGCAGTGGTTGCATTGTCTGTGTTATGTGTTACATGCACATTTCTTTAAACAAGAGTAAATAAATATTGTGCGAGTAGTATCTTTCTTCAAGACAGAAAAAAAGTGGTAATGTTCTTCTAAATTTATAGAGTTCACTCACAAGTATCTTGCAGGTTGCCTTAAATCTCAACTTGTTTATTTGTTTTTGTGCCCATCACCTCTTTTTCTCCTCAGCCCAGCTCCCCTGGGTCCAGACCAGGTGTTGCTGCGTGGTGCCCAGATCAGGAACACTCAGTGGGTTGTGGGAATTGTCGTCTACACTGGGCATGACTCCAAACTGATGCAGGTAAACCCAGGGTCTCTTCTGAATTCAGTGAATGAGTGGGACGTCCAGTAAGAGTCTTTTTTGGTCTTTTTTTTAATAATTAGAATCTTTCTTGTGAATTTTGTAACACTAGTTGGGGGCTTTTAATAAACTTTGGAATGCATTCACTGTAACTGGGAGCACATGTTCAGCCCCAGTGTTTGGATTGCTTGCACTTTTTTTATGCCAAAATATAATTTAAACAACTTTTAATGTTAGTTTTATGGTTATATTTGTCTCACATATTCACATTAGTAAAACAAAAACATTTAAAGGGTTATGTAAGTGGACACCCCCTCGGGACACCATTACCACACGGTAAAAACTGCCCACATTTGTGTGTTTCTCACTTGTTGTATTCATTGACCTCCCACCTCCCAGAACTCCACCAAGGCGCCCCTGAAGCGCTCTAATGTAGAGCGAGTGACCAACATGCAGATCCTGGTCCTGTTCTGTATCCTGCTGGTCATGGCCCTGGTCAGTTCTGTTGGTGCTGCCATCTGGAACAAAGAACACACTGAAGATGCCTGCTGGTACCTGTCCCGCACTGGTGAGAACATACACACACCACATCTTACAACCTGAAAAATTATAGGATTAATACACAGGTTAAGCGTCAGTACATAAGGGAAGATTTTGTGTTTGTGCAGGTGCCATCTCCACTAACTTTGCATATAACCTGTTGACGTTCATCATCCTGTACAACAACCTGATCCCCATCAGCCTGCTGGTCACTCTGGAGGTGGTCAAGTTCACACAGGCCCTCTTCATCAACTGGGTATGAACCATCTGTGGGTTGTAATGCTTGTTGTCATTGGTCAAATATTCCTCAATACTTTGAATGTTTTTATTTTTCCCCACAGGACGTGGAGATGTACTACTCAGAGACAGACACGCCGGCCATGGCTCGGACGTCCAATCTTAATGAGGAACTGGGGCAGGTCTGTTTCTCCCCTTCCTCACAGTTAGTGGCTATAGGACAGAAAGTATGAACACCCAAATGACCTTTATACGTAGACTTGAGTTAATACAGGCCTGTTGAAGGTGCACTGTGTAAGATTGAGAAGGATTTATTAGCAGAAATGGGCTATAGTATGCATATTTATGTTTTCATTAATGTGTAATCACCAGAAAAAAAAGAAACAAGAGGAAGCATTGTTGTGAGTTTAACAACAGGATACAAGACGAGGGTAAAGAGTGGTGTGGCCTTTCCCAGATGGAAATCCTTGATGAGGGACAACTGTTTCCAGAATGATGCTGAAGTTGCCTGTTTTCTGGTGGACATGTAATTTAGCCTATCAAGTAAAGTTAACCTAAATGCAAGTCTTTGTCTGATGGCTTTAGCAAGAACATGCCCAGCGCTGAGAAACTCGCTGCAGTCAAGTGATCTGCCGTTAGCTTTTGCTTGGTCAAGGCAGCTGTACTTGTTTTCTGAGTGCACCGTTTATCCTACATTTACAGTAATCACTGTGAAACTGCTGTGAGGGCTGTTTAACACGAGAGCTTTGCTTAACATTGCAATCGTCAACCTCACTGCTAGATGTCACTAAATTTCACACACTGTGCCTTTAACATGTACAGTTTGCTTTCACTGCTTATTTGCCCTTTTCAGGTGAAGTATCTCTTCTCTGACAAGACAGGAACTCTGACCTGTAATGTCATGCACTTTAAGAAGTGTACCATTGCGGGAATAACATATGGGTCAGTCTCTTCTTTTTTTAAAAAAATATATTCTTGTCTCTGAGCTTTACACATTTTGTCATATTCAGTTTCTAATGGCTAAACTAATTCATGTCTCAGACTAACTTGCAGTAAACAATGAGTGGTTATTGATTTACTTGCTTGCATGTGTGCACAAATGAACTAATCGACTGATTCTGAGCTGATTCCTTTTGCAACAACACCTCATCCATCGCTGCAGCCACTTCCCTGATCTTGACTGTGATCGTTCAATGGAGGACTTCGGGTTAGTGACCTGGGCTGCTCATTTCTTCTCAATTATTCTTTTCTTCATTTTAAATTCTGCACGTTTTGAAAATCAATGTAGTCTTTATTCTTTGATCATAACAGTAGACTAAGAGTGTATCTGCTTTTGCCTGCAGTGATACTTGAATGCTAAAATTATGATTTTCCTACACAATAACTCAAACAATCTGTTCCTCAGCAACCTGCCGTCCAGCAGCCAGAGCTCCACAGAGTTTGAAGACCCATCTCTCATCCAGAACATTGAGATGAACCATGTAGGTGTCTGTGAAGCTTTCCTCTGGCTTCTGCCCAAAATGAACTAGAGTCTGCTGTTAATATCCATATCTGCTCTGGTCGTGCGTGTTTTCAGTTTACGTCGCCTCAGATCTGCGAGTTCCTGACAATGATGGCAGTGTGTCACACAGTGGTCCCAGAGAGAGAAGAAGACCAGATCATCTACCAGGCCTCTTCACCAGATGAAGGAGCACTGGTCAAAGGGGCCAAGGGACTTGGCTTTGTCTTTACTGCAAGGACACCGCATTCAGTCATTATTGAAGCTGTAAGTCTTGAAGCGTAACTACAGTGTGAGCTGCTTTTTCTAACAGCAGGAACTGACAGTTTCTTGTGTATTTCAGAGAGGAAAAGAGATGAGCTATGAGCTGCTGAATGTACTGGAGTTTTCCAGGTAACGCTACCATAAATGTTGTTTTCAGCCAGTAAATAACTGTAGTGTGTTTTGAAACTAAGCCCACTTCTTCCTTTTCAGTAACCGCAAACGTATGTCTGTGGTGGTCAGGACCCCCAGTGGGAAACTACGGCTGTACTGCAAAGGAGCTGTATGTTTGTCTCATTATCAGTATCATCCAACACTCCAAATGTCTCTAAGACACTGCATTTTAAATCTGAGTCAGTTATTTTGTGCTTTTGCAGGATAATGTCATTTTTGAACGTCTGACTGAGGCATCCCAGTACAAAGAATTAACTGTGTCTCATCTGGAACAGTTTGCTACTGAAGGTAAGAGGGAGAAAACAGAGAGGGAAGGAGCTAAAAGCACTTGGTATTTCACTAGGTGTCCATTTTCTGTGTTAATATTTTTACAGATAAATTATTCGTCTCTACATAAACTCTGTTTATTTTGCTTCACTGTTACTCAAGTGGACATTTTTATGCCCGAATGTTTTTGGGCCGTCCGTGCGATTCTTGTTAAAGTGATACGCCTTGAAGGAATTTCTTCAAATTTGGCACAAATGTCCACTTAGGCTGAAGGATGAACTGTTTAGATCTTGGTGATCAAAGGTCAAGGTCACTGACCTCTCTTCTATGCTGTACCTGTGAATTTGACTGGGTGGCAGAGCCATACAACCACAAAGTGGTAATTCTAGTTTTGCCTTGTGTTAGTGTATTTTTTTATGGTTTGTTGAATTGGGGTATCATTTTATTTTCAGTACCACATATGCTGTGGCTTTAACGGTCCAACACGCTCATAGCAGAGTATAGAATGGGTCGCCTATTTCTGTCCGAACCCTGCCCCAAGCCCAAAGTTGTTGAGTTTGTGCAGTGTTTTTCTGTGGCACTCATGCGCCTAATATCTTGGATAGTGATGTCATGCCCTTAAACACGTGACTTGTTCATGGCTCGAAAGTCACTTTTAATCGTGAACATAAATCGACATATTAAGACTTGACATTATTGGATCCCACTTCTACTTTGAGGTTGCATCATCTGTGATACCAGCGATTGATTGTCCTATCCCCCTCTCACCCATGCAGGCCTGAGGACTCTGTGTTTTGCCTATGTAGACCTGGAGGAAGATGCCTACCATGAGTGGCTAAAGGAATACAATCGGGTCAGCACCGTACTCAAAGACCGTGCTCAGAAACTAGAGGAGTGTTATGAACTACTGGAAAAGGTAAATACCCTGTCTCTTTCTCTGTACCAATGTGTATTTTAGACTTTAGTTAAACACTGAAAAATAAGTCAGCACTTGTAATGATACATTTACAAGCCCTGTGATTGACAGGTAAGCTCTCCTGGGTGAAGGGGTTTATTTTTAATTAAATTTTCTTTTGTAGCAAATATATAACCAAAAAGAATTATTGATAGATTGATATGAAATCAAAATAGAGATGTGAAAGGACTGACCACACACACTTCATGTTTGCCAGTGGGTGGCAGAGCGGCTCCACTGTTCCCCATACCTACACCGCGTGTTAAAAATTTTATCATTGCATTGCTCAAATACTTAGCTTGCAGTACAAACTCAGAAGCTTTTTTGTTCCTAAACTGTGTGTAATTTATTTAATCAGAATATAAAGACACATACAGTCTTTGCTTAAAGGCTGACCACTGTAGAAATTGCATGTTAGTTGGTCAGAGAGTTAACACGACTGCTGTGACATACAGATTTCAGCTGTAGGGAGTTGATGTTTTAGGTGGTGTTTTGATGAGAAAGCTGAGGTGAGAAAAGTGAGTGAAGAGGAAAAAGAGGAAGCAGGAGGAGGAGAGGAACCCAGACTGGGAGACCACAAGGGTAATTACTTGTGCCAGCCTGCCAAAAGCCCCATAAAACTGGAGTCAACAGCATAGTGGGATTAACTTCTGAGTCTGCATGTTTGTGTGTGTGTGTCTAATGAGGATACACAGGCATTTAAATGTTGAACAAATTATACCGTTTGGGGGCTTTAGTAAGTTCTTGGCACAAAGATACAGAGGTCCACAATGAGTTGCTTTGCCAAACGAACTCTGGTGTCATTGCCAGTCTCAAGTTAGATACGAGAGGAAAAAGGCCCAACTCGCAGGCTTAAATATGATGTTTGTAAGTTACCCCCCTCTCTTCTTTTGTCCGATATTTTTGTTCTCACTTTCTTTTTGAATCTTGCATCTCAAATTCTCTGTCTCCTGCCTTCTTTTGCTCTTCCGTTCCACCGACAGAATTTACTACTTTTGGGGGCCACAGCCATAGAGGACCGTCTCCAGGCCGGCGTGCCAGAGACCATCGCCACTCTGATGAGGGCTGACATCAAGATCTGGGTCCTCACCGGAGACAAGCAGGAGACCGCCATCAACATAGGTGCGAGGAAGGTTTTTAAAAGAAAAACTTTTTTGAGACCAAATATGATTTTTAGCTCCCAAAATGGACGTTCATTCATGAGAAGTCAATTTGATGACGTTCAGCAGTGTAGGAAACTATTGTGGGGTTAATTAAATCATGGCTGACAAAAATGGCAGGCCTTATGAGGGCTGTGGAATTCCAGACGTGTCCAGTCTCTAAGTGAAATGTTCCAGTGTCCTCGTGGTAAAGGAGACTGCAATGACATTAGTGCATTTATTTTCCCTTGGCATTGGTTCGATCATGTTGGAGGCAGATGTCCAGAAAAAACAAGACACCTCTCTTTGATTGAAAAGACATTTTGAATTGCCAGCATCCTGATCATCTGTGTTGGTGTTCAGAATTCAAAGTTTTCACCAGTGTTTGAGTAAATCTAATCTCTTCCCCATCCCCCACTCTCCACCCTCCACTATCTGTTTCTTGTTCCTCAGGTTACTCTTGTCGTCTGGTGACACACGGCATGTCTCTCATCATTGTCAACGAGGACTCTCTGGATGTGAGTACACCCTCCTGTTATCCTCTGACCTCCTTCGTTCACACACTTTTTACAGTACTGAGAACTTTTGTGTGCATATGGCGGGGTGGGGTCTTAGGAGACTTACAGTGGGAACTAGGGTGTGGTCCACGGGCAGATTGGTGGGTGGGGCTCATTGTGTGCTCACAGGTGCAGGTAATTAAAGTCTCTAGTGTCCCTTTTGGAGAAAGGGATGAAAAGAGACGAGCCCAGAATTGTCATTTCTTTCCCTCTTTGCTTCTTTCACAAATGCCCACACACAGTATCTGGCTTTTGGTGATTGCACAGTATTCTTACACGATTTATGTAAGAAAATTTATGAAAATGGAACAAAATGTACAGGATGCACAGGTTCAGTCTTTTTATGTTATCTCTAGATTAGATGTATACCCCAGTTGTGTGTTTTTTGTGTTTAGGTTTCATGTGTGACTGCTTTATCTAAGTGGTTTGATTGCTGTCTTGTGTCTCTTGTTAACACACACGGTCCCAGACACACATGTATTCACACAATCACAGTATATTCACTTTTTATACGCAAGACAGGGAAGATTATTGCTCATAATTTTAAGTGTGTGACTTGTTGATGGGTATATTTCAGTGTGTGTGTTAATATGGATGGAGAGACATTTATATTTGCATCATTGCGTAGAGGAGGTGTCAGTAGAGACCTCTGTGGGTGACACTGTATCCAATTTGAGTGCTCTGAGTAAAGACCTCAGTATTGATCATGATTTTAAATTTGATTCACACCCTTAATCATTTAGCTTTTCATGCCAACTTTTAGTAGCCTAAAAGTAATAAGGGTACTTTAGTCTGAGAATTGACTATCCAATTAGCACAAGAGAGTGAAAGCGAATACAGTTAGCAGTGTAAGTGGATCATTCTTAATGTGATTTGGAAGATTGTTAGCAGCCTTTTGACCACATACTGTATTGTTCCAGTAAACAGTTCAAAGTTTGTTTACTGTCTGATCAATATTGTCTGGCAGGGGCAGATCTAGAAAATTTTGGCCAGGCTGGGGCACAGACTCGTGTAAAAAGTAAATTAACCCCTTAGGTCTATGAAATAATAAACTCTACATGATTAAGAATTAAATTTTCTATTTTGTATGATTCCTGTCATCTTGGGGAAACTCCTCTCTTGCACAGAGCTGTGGGCATGTCAGGTGACACATAAGACAAGAGTTTTCACTATGTTTTGAACCTTTTTCTATCATTTGTAGTACCTTCAGGATTAAGGCCATTGGTGAGAAGTGCTGTCTAAAGATTGGGACTTCAGTGTAAACAAAAACTACTGTAGTGACAGTAGTGAGCAAAGTGGCTGAGCTGAGAAGTGATAAGGAAAAAAGTCACATAGTGGTTTCTCTGATAAGTGTATGTAGAAATAAAATGGGATATTTTTGAAAGGAAAGAATTACCCTCAAAATGACTTTGTGTGAAGTTGTTTTAGACTTTCCTTATGCCAAATACAGACAAAGACTTTCCATTTATTACACACCACATAACTTGAAACAACTTGGCCGAGGTAAGGATTTCGTCATGCATCTGGAAAGCTTGACTTCAGTCCACTGCGATGGCAGACGTCCACCCGGCTGATGTGTCCTTGAGGAGGCTTTTTTGAACGCTCACCAGTCCCAGTGGGGTGCTGTTCATAGCTGATCCTGACTTTCTTCTGGAAAAGGGCAAACACTAAAGCCGTGTCTCATTTTGTAATGAATAAAGCACTACTCTCTTGTTATTGTTGAAGATGTTTAAGAGAAAACTGATGGGATAGAAGTGATTGTACTATGTGACACAGATAGTCAGGGAATCTGGGAGAGACAGCTGGTTGATTTTGAAATAAACCATGGGTGGAATTGTTCATGTGACAATACATGGCCTAACATTATGCTTTAGACCGTGGGGCATTTATTAACACCAATGAAACTGAATAAATCTAGATTTACATTTTATGTGGACATATAAGAGGAAATTCAGTCATGACAACCTCAGGGAGCTCTTGTTGTGACCGGTGGTTGGTGTGGGTGAAAGTGACGCCGTCTTCGGCGCAACATGTATCTCACACTTAAAATAACTCTCACTGGCTTAGCTCCTTCATGCACATGGGCCTGTTTGAAAGTGTACCTTGCACATGAGCAAAACTTATGAAAATCTCACCTTGAGATCAATCTCTTGCCTCATTTTTAAAAATCTGTGTGGTATATCAGATCAGTGCAGCTGCCAGTCTTGGCAGCAGATGCAGCCCCTCCCCCTCCCCTTCCTGACCAAACCCATTCTTCACTCCATGTCTCCTTCACACTACTCGCTCCACATCTGTCAGCACCCTCTCTATGCACAGGAAGCGACTACACGGCCTCTGTGGTGTGTGACATGAGAAGTATGTGTGTGACAGCGAGAGCGGGAACAAGCAACAAATGTGTGTTTATCTAAAGCAGGGGGGTGTTTATTATAATCCACGTATGAGATAGACATTCTGGATAAAGAAAGAAAAGGGGGAGAAGAAGGGGGAGATTTGGCCAAGGCATCTGAGGGCAATGAGTGAATTGTAACGCGATCTCCTTTTGGTACTCCTCCTCATCAAAACAAACCATGTGAGCAATGCCTCCTGGGTAAACGGTTTGCAACCACTGAAGCTGTGACAAGCGCCATCTGTCACCTTCAGATCACTTGCCACACACAGACTGACATAAATCTTTGCCCCGTCTCCTTCTGTTTAATCAACACTGAAGGACACGTGAGAATACGGATGTAAATGTTGGGTAGTTGTGTGTTATTTCTGTCCCTGACTCTGGCTCTGACACACACACACACAAACTGTTTTACTTTAAATGCAGTGGCACATTATCACACCGATCAGCTTGATAGTTCTGAATATGCACTACATCTAACTTTCCCACAATCCCCCTCTCTGGTCTTGCTGCCCACAGTACAACACTTAAGCAAACAACATCTCTCTTCTGCTCATTAATCATGTTTATGCACACACAGTCACATTTTGTAATACCTCAGCTTGCATGCCTTATTGTTCTGGTATTTTCAGTTTATTATGGCTTTTTGTGCACCAGGCCTCCCACTGTTGAAGTCCACATGTGTGTCTGTGGCGTTTTGTCTTCCTTGGGCAGCAGTGTGTGTGTGTGTTTCTGGCTCAGGCAGCAGAGGACGTGGGTGTATGCACAGATGCACAGTCGGATAATTAAACGGTATATTAAATTTCACTGGTGACAGTTCAGATATGAGCATTTCTTTCTTCACTCACTTTCCTCTCAGCAGCTCTTTCATCCTTCTCCCCAGTCTAGTTCACACTCCTTGTCCTTTGTACTTTTTCCCATTTATCATGCTTCATACTTTTTATACTCTGCCCATAAGTACATTTGTCATAAAGGCCCAAACGACTAAGGTCTCGTCAGTTGGCTTTCCTCATCTTCACTGCATTCATATGTGTGTTTGTTCTTGTGTGTTTTGTGGTCAAGCATGAGAGAAGGTGCTCTGTGATATCTCAGACTGCCTCCATACCCTGCTCATTTTATGATCCAAATATAAACCTGATAAAATTCCTTGCAGAAAGGCCTGTGAGTATGGTTTACAAAGTGCATGTGTGTTTCCGCCCTCTTTGAGCTCAGATGCACATGCAAAATAAACATTTAGTTTGGAGCTTAACAAGCTTCCTAATGAGATCTGTCATTTTGCAATCAAGGAATTAAAAAATTCTCTCTAAGGTCTCCAAAAACAGCAAATAGTTTAATGTGAGAAAGCAGGAAGCTACATAGTAAGACATTTTTCTTTGGTCCTGTATTCGCTCTCTTTGAGTTAACCAATCACAGCTGACCCTGTTTCTTTTCATGTTTCAACGGGAGGATACAGTTTGGTCTAGACTTGCTGTATTTAGTAAGGGGCTGCCTGTTAGCTTTAAGAGCTAACTAGTGTTTGTACATTAGTTACCCTTTTAATCTTCTATAGCTCCCTGCAGACTTAGCCTGGTTATTATCTCAGGTTATCTTAGCCGCTGCTAATACTTTGACTGGACCTGCTGTGACAAGTCACTGTGGTGAATTAGCTCTTTGCACTTGGGGGTTGATGTACCGCTATATCTGGCACTGTTTCTGGGCCTTTGGTAATTACAAAGGTTCATGCTATGGTGAATATCAGACAGTTAACCATTTATATTTCTATAAATGAATTGTTCGACATAGAAGATGCAGCCCTTCCCTAACACTCCACCTCATATCATGTTAGAAAGAGCTTCCAGAATCAAACCCCATGCATTAAGACGCTAAGCATCAACACCCTCCATCCAGTACATGTGTCATAATGTGTTCGTAGACGATCGTTTTTCAATTACATGCTGTTTACTTTGTATTTTACTGCTCAGGCCTTTTATGGCCATTCTGCTATGATGAGGTGAGGACAAGCAGAATCCCAGCTCTAATACATGCACCACATGTACACACACACAACCCCCGTGCACTTACAGTACATGCAGACACACTCATACATGCACACTCGTGTCGTCTATAAAAACACACACACACACACACACACACACAGATGCTTTGAGTTTCAGAGCTCTGACAACCTGTAATCTCCTTTAATCCCTTCATTATGTTTTTGTTTTCCTTTCCCCTGTTTGGGGAAAAAGGTGAATGCAAACAGGAATTCCGGCATACAAAGAAAAACACACAGCCTCAGGCTGAGAAAACAAGAGCAGGGAATTTTTGGGAAGAGGAGGGATACTTATGCATGGAGGGAATACATATGTGCATTGCTGTTTGGCAAGAAAAAGAGAGGCTGCATTGTCCATGTATCTGTGAGTGTGTGTTGTGTCCTACACATGCTGATTGGCGGAGAGAGGGGTCATCTCTCTGTGAGCAGCTGGACTCTCTCAGGTCTGGTATCACTGTGTGAGACTGTGCAGATTCTTAACGCCACCACATTTTTAATTGCTTGTGCTCTTTTGTGTCTGGAATGTGGTCTTGTGTAGCTGATTGCTATGTGTTTAATTGTGTTTCTCATGTTTCCACAAACCATTCCTGTTATGAGGCATTTCATTTCACGTTATTCCACATGTGCAACTAGCAAGACTGACCAGAGCTAGAGAGTTAATGAGCTGTTTGCAACAGTACTGGGCAACACATGGTCAGACATACAGTACTTACTCCCCTTGTTTAGTGTTGGAGAGACTTTAAACTGAATTCTTTGTGATCTCCTTAATGTGAAAAACTCACTGTTCATGTGGTTTAACAGAACTTCTGTTTAGAATCTCAAAGGGTCCAGGTGGACCACACAAAGCAAGGAGGACCTGGAAATGCTATTAGACCATGTTAATGCTCTGTAGCATTGGAATCACATGGAAATCATAACTTCAGTCAGTGGAAATAAAGAATTCAGGTGTGTGTATGTGTGTGTGTGTGTGTGTGTGTGTGTGTGTGTACCATGGGAGTGCGGACAACCTCAAAGCGTTGTTTAAGCATTAAGACCTGGTCTTAGAGTTAAGGTGTTAGGCATTTAGTTGTAATGGTTAAGGTTAGGGTCAGGGGCTTGGGGATGCATTATATCAGTGTGTGTCCTCACAGATAGCTGTACAAATGTGTGTTTGTGTCTGTGATGGAAGGTTGTACTGTGCCTGCTCCTCTACATTGAATTCATTACATCTCTGTGGGATGTTTATTTTCTTTATTAATTCATGCTCCTCTATTATCATGAGCTCCATCAGAACTGCCCCAAACCATTGTCCTGCAAGTAAATTGGCAGTCACTCAAACAAACACACACAACATCACATGCCTATACCTCGCTGAATGACGCATTTGCCCTTGACCTTAATCCAACTCTTTTATCTTTTTAACTCTTTGTTGCCGTCTGTCTACCCACTGTGGTGTGTTGCTGCATTATGAGGAAAAGACTTAAGATATGATGCCATGATATAACATGTCTTCAGGACCTCGTAGCATTAGCATGCTGTGATAATATCTAGAACAGCTGAACATTATTTTGCTGTTCTTAATTGTATAGGATACACAGAAGCAAATTCTTTCCCCAGATGAAAGCAGCCTGTGCAACCAGGAGCATATGTCTTCCATTTACCGCCTGTGGTTTTGACCTTTCAGCAAATTGGTTTGCGTGTTTTGACGTGTGTGATTTGTATTTTCACCACTTTGGAAGCCACAACATCCCCACAAAAACGTCAAACTTGGAAAAAAAAAAGTCCCTTTCAGGGTGGTAGTTATGAATGGTTAGGGCACAGATTAGGATTTAGTTCGTGTCGAGGTGACCTATTAGGTTTTCACTGTAAGACAGCAGCATTTCTTCATACATCCTTATGAGCAGTGAAGTGTTTGGGTGGATGTAGCTGACTTGAACCAGCAGTAGAAAAGATGCTTGTCGGTAAAAGCAAGTTGTTAATATGGCAACTGTCTAACTACTCTGGGAGGCTGTGGGGGGAAAGAAGCATATCTAGTCAAACTTACTAGAACAGGATTTTTTCTCTGTGTCTTTGTCTCTTTTAGGTAACTCGGGCCACGCTGACAGCTCACTGTTCATCCCTAGGCGACTCTCTAAGGAAGGAGAATGAGCTGGCGCTGATAATCGATGGTCAGACGCTGAAATATGCCCTCTCCTTTGAGCTTCGCCAGGCCTTCCTCGACTTGGCATTATCTTGCAAGGCTGTTATCTGCTGCCGGTAGGGAAGGCTCATTCACCACACACATGACCGGGCAAAATGTCCTCACTCCCAAGGTACAAAGCTCAAACTGGCCCTCACCCTCAAAGCAAAACAAGTACCCACACACATTTATCAAAACGTGTCTACGGTGCAGTTTGTACTATCATTCAAAATGAAAAGTAAATGAAAATTTGGTCTTATGACCAAAGAACTGAAACATCTGTCTGCAAGACGTTTAAACAAAGTATGGCATTTTGATCTGTCAACAAGAAAAGGACTCTGTATTTAAACCATTTTAACAGATAAACAGAATCATTATGATTTTGAAGGAAGGGGGAGAGGTTGTCTGCACACTCACATTTGCAAGTTCCCAAATGTATTTTTAATGCAACATTTCAACACAATCTTTGTTAGATAAAGCCTAGTTTGTCAGCTGCCTTTGTCCTGCACCTAACCCATAACACATGTACAAAAAGATGAAAATATACATGTACACTGCCGTCTTGTTACCGGGTTTTCTCTTCTGCATGGGCAGCAGTTTGAACACAAATGGTCTTCCTCAGGTAAAGGAATGGCTTTGTGCAAACTGCTCTTTTAAATCATCAACTGGAGGCACCTATAAAGACAAAGAATGCACACAGAAAGATACATCGAATCCCACCACGGACAGATTAATCCTCACTCTGTTGCGTGCATACTGTGCACAGAAGAAAAAAGAAAGCGTTTGTGTGTGTATGCACGTGCATGTATGTGTTTGTAAAGGTTGTTGGTTGCCCACGCTCAGTAAATGAATGAGAATGATTAGAGGCTGTCCCGCTGCACAGCAGGAGTAATGTATTACACTACGCTGCATGGAAATGTCAGTCGTGACTCATTTAGTGCTGGAACGGGGCATCGACACACATGCACAGGCATCGCTGCCGTTATACATTTCCATTGATGCAAAGTGCTCTCTGTTCACAGAGTGTTTACTGCATGATCCCTTTTTTGGTCATGTTCCACTCAGCACCAGCTGTGATGTTTAACAAAAAAGTTTCCACTTGTCTTGTGTGTGTGTGTGCCTTTGTATTTCTTACATTATGGGAACCTAAACCTGTTAACATCCACATTGTGGGGACTCGGGACCAGAGGCTGGTCCCCACAAGGAAAATGTTGAATTTTAGGGTGGCAACATGGTTTAAGGTTAGGGTTAGGCAAGTATGTCTGCGGGGAATGAATGTAAGTCAGTGTAAAGTCCCCACAAGGAATGAAAACAAAGTGTTATGGGTGTGTGTGTGTGTGTGTGTGTGCACGCAGCCAGGAGGAAAGTCATTGACTCTCCATTGCATAGTCAGCCCATATCCAGACTCAAACAGTCTCCAGCTTCCACTCTGTCCCTCTCTCTCTGGGTCTCTCTCCCTCCACTTTTGTATCTCGCTCTCCCCTCGCTAGGTTTGTTGTCAAACATCAGGTTTTTTTTTTCATCTTGCACAAAATAATGAAAGCATGTGAAGTACTGAAGGTTGGCATCACATCTCTGGTCAGATCAATAGTCCCTGATTTTAAAATCAAAATGTGCAGAACAGAAAACTTCAGATACTCAAATGTAGAGGAGCAGCTGTTTCCGTCGGGGTTTGTTTATCGAGACTCCACTTTCTCCTGCTCTTCTGTGTGTGAGTGACTTCCACACATGCACCAGTGTTGCTGTTTTAGAGCAGTTCATTCTTGTTCAGCTGCTTGTACAATATTTAATATGTTAGAAAGTTGACTCCTTTTAAATAAAAAGGGCTTTGTTGAAAAATATTTTAATATTTATCAAAGTATAGAATCAGAAAATAGAACTGACTTGACTTTGGTAGATATTTGCATTTTATACTGTTTACGAAAAAACAAAGATTAAAGATAAGTTTAAAAATTTTTTGCTGAATTTGATTTTTATTGTTTCCTTCCCCAGGGCCCCAGAATTATCTTGTGACCCCATGGGAGGTCAAGACCCCCATGCTGGGAACCCCCGCTGTAATGACTATGTGTACGCATCCAGGGCACGATACTGTTAATAAGGTGTCTGTGCCTGTGAGATCATGTCTCATCTACTATATGTGTGTGATGGTTCACAGCTTGGGAACGTGTGTGTCTGTGTGGTGGCACAGCTCGGTGGATTTGTACGCACAGGTTGCTGACTTCACTGCGCGTTTGTTTATAGGACTTAGCAGCTGTTTATTTTCTGCTCGGTTCCACCATGAAGAGCACTTTCATCTCTCCGGCTCCACTTTACCCATCCCCAGTTACTGTTAGCAGGGTTTAGAGGAAAGGTAGAGCGAGACAGAGAGGGAGAGATGGAGAGAGATTTGTGGTCAGAGGCCGAGAGGTGCACAAGCAGACACACACACACTGAATATGAAAAAAATGGGGGGAAACAAGCAGAGGTTGATCCCATCCTTCAGCAACAAAAGTCTTTTCCCTTGGAAACATCCTGCAGTGTGTGCTAGGGGGCAGGAGGTGTGTGTGTTTGTTCATGTGTATAAAGTTGCTTGTTTTTGCACACATATGTATGAATACAAAAGAGGACACTTAGCTTGACCGGGACATGTTCTTATTTACATATTCATAAGAGATAGACCATCTTTATGACCTGTGGGCTCCATCAGGATGTGTGTGTGTGTGTGTGTGTGGACGTGTTTTTCCTGCTACGTGGGGACTTCTTCTTGACTCCATACCAACTCATGAGGACCCATTTCACGGTGGGGACCTAAATTGAGGTCCCCATGGGTAAGAAATTGAATTTTAGGGTGGCAACATAGTTTAGGGTTAGGATGAGGTTAGGGTTAGGTTAAGGTTAGGGTCAGGGTTAGGGTTAGGCAAGTAGTGGTTCTGGTTAAGGTTAGGGTTAGTCTACAGGAAATGCATGTAAGTCAATGTAAAGTCCCCATGGACTACGGAACATAAACTGTGTGTGTGTGTGTGTGTGTGCAGGGACATACATCTGCTCATAATTTCATTTTGCCTTCTGTTTATCATGTGCTAGCTCATGCAGCTGCACATCATTTAACTCTGTACTATCATTATCAGAGCACTGACAAACATGGTGTAGGCTGAATGCCAGTTGCATTAGAGCGGAGACAGCCACTGTGAAAGTGACTCCTCCTGGTTCTAGGAACTGTTTGAGGTACTAGCCACACATTAAGTGGATTATACAATGTTCATACTCAAATTACGTTCTCCTTATACATCACTGCGGCTCCGGTGATTACAATAGCCAGGGAAATGTAATATAAATGTTTAATGTCAATAGACAAGTAGCACACTAATGAATATCTGCTTTCCTCGACCTTATAGTAGCTACTCTACTTTTGAGAAAACAAATCTGTTCCACCCCTCTTGTAACTGCTGCTATATTTCCAAATGATCTAGTAAACAACCACCACATAAAAACACACACACGATATCCTATCTTAAGAGGTTGCAGGACTGTGGGAAATATAACTTTCTTTGTTAGACAAGTTAACTCCCAGTCCCAGTATCATTTTTCTCCCATGCCTCCCTCTTTGTACTGTATATGTATTTGCTTTCACTGTACAGGTCGCAGGTAGTAAGGACAGGACTCACTTAAGCTGTGTGCATGTGATTGACAGGCAGTGGCAACGCCTCCTTATACAAAGCATGTTTTGGAAACAGAGATGATGACAAATCCAATCTTAGTCTCTGGGTTCAAAATGCAGCATATAAAAATGTAAACACAGAGTGTGGGGTTGCATGTTCCTCACACAGCCTCCTCCTAAATTTACTACCAGCTACGTATGACCATGATGTATCTCTCTAGAATGAGCCGTTATCCACAGCTGATCTGTGAACTGTGCAACTAAAGAGCTAGTACAGAATCAGGTTGTAATGGATGTCATAGTCACTTAGTAAAAGAGAAATCCCTAATCTCACATCACACCACCGCTACACAAATAGTACTAATGTGATCTGAACAATAGCTCCTCATAGCTACTACTGGTCAAACTCCAGCTCCACACAGCTACTGAATGGACCTTGTGATGAGAAAGTCAGACTCTTTAAACCTGAAGTTAATTAATGTTTTTCTATGACTTTTTCACATTTAGATGAGCTATAATGAAAATTGTCCTTACATGAATAAAAAAATGTTTGCTATTACCATATGCAAACCAGACCAACAACAAGACACTCTATCATATTTCAGCACACACCAAGTCAAACACTTTCATCATTTCTCCCAAGGCCATTGGTTGAAGAAATAAAGGATTGATGTGAAAACTGATCCAAAACCTCTTTAATGAAGCCAAAAAGAAAACCCAGAGCAGGAGAGGGAATGGTATGGGATGGAGGCTGCCATTTTACAGATGCAACACACAGTTCCATAAACTCAAAGCATATCAGCAGTGTAACACCTCACCACCACGTTTCAGTGGCCCCGGGGGGAAGCGTCTGAAATTGAGCCTCTGGTTCATTGTCAGTGACGAGTCAACTGGTTATAGACTCCAGATAAGTGATACAGGTCAAGAGGGTGGAGTGCCACAGGAAGCTCCCCAAACACATGCAGTTGGAGGCGCAGTCAGACATAAGTAGGCAAACACACACACATATGCACATCAGACATGAGTCTTATTAGCAGAACAGTGAATCATTGTTTCCTAATACCTGGTGAAGAGCAGTAAACAGAGCCACCCACTCATCTGTCGCTTTCCTTTTCCTCCCTGAACTGTCTCCCACTATAAATTTTATTATTTCCTTCCACGTGGCTGCAATCTCAGTGTTTTCCTTCTATCTCCACATTTTTCTGCAGAGTGTCTCCATTGCAGAAGTCAGAGATTGTGGATATGGTGAAGAAACATGTGAAAGCCATCACACTGGCAATAGGCGACGGTGCGAATGACGTGGGAATGATACAAACAGCTCATGTTGGAGTGGGGATAAGCGGCAACGAGGGCATGCAGGCCACCAACTCCTCTGACTACTCCATAGCACAGGTGGGGCGCAGACATAACACGGAGACTCGCAGGGTTAGGTCTATACATATTTAGTTGCACACCCTGCTTAAGGACACTGAATCCTTACCTGCTCGCTGTTCAGTTGATCCTGACCTTTGACCTTCCTTTAGGGGGCCGACTAAAAGGAGAATTTATTTTAAGGGGTCACTGCAGTGCCGTGCTGTCAGTGTAAACGCACAGCTCATCACAAATGTTAAGATTCAAAGTCCGCAAGCAAACACATACATTTCTATGTAAGAAAATCAGCTCTTTGTGTTGATTTTGTCACGTTTCCAGGATTTATTTTGTACAGACATTCGTCATTTAACACAATCAGTAACATTTTATGCTGCCTCACTGCATATGATGCTTTTTAAAAATCTGTTAAAATGGCATCTTATATATTTTCTTTTGTGTTGCAAGGATTAATCAATTAATTGATGTTGATCAACTGAAAACTGACAAGTTTAATAGTAGATTCAAATCATTTATCAGTGAAAAATGGCAGGTTTTAGCCTCTCAAATGTGAAGATTTGCTGCGGTTCCCTGTTTTATATCATTGTGCATTGAATACCTTTGAATTTGAATAGTTCTTTTACCTTTTGTCAGACAAAAGACATTCAAAGATACCTCCTTGTCTGAAATTGTGATGGAAGAACACTTTATGGAATAATTAAGCAAAAACTACTGACAGATGAATCAACAAATAAAATAATTATTACCTATGATCTCTGAAACTCACAATGACAACAACTCAGTGGCAATGTGAACATGATAAATTGCGACCAGAGGGTTCTGTGTCTGTCTCGCACATTGCATTCTGTCACTTTCACTATTTGAGCTGCTGCTCTCACAGCCCCTGGACATCTTGCTTATCTTTATCAGTTCCCACAGCTCTCCCTTCTGCCTGTCACATTCTTGTGTCCTTTCTCTCTGCCCATTCTGCCTGTGTCGGCTATTATTTTTAATCTTTGCTCTGTCTTTTCTCTCCTGGTCTCTGATTGGTAGTTCTCCTACCTAGAGAAGCTGCTACTGGTTCATGGGGCATGGAGCTACAATCGTGTCACCAAGTGCATCCTCTATTGTTTCTATAAGAATGTGGTGCTCTACATTATAGAGGTAAGGGCTTTGCCACCACAGCTTCCCTGTTCCACACACACACCCACAGTTACATTAACAGAGACACTCTGCAGCTGTTTGGTCGATATGGGTGACAGTGATAGATGAGGCGCCCTTCTGGTGTCTGCTTTCTGTCTCTTTTGTGCACACACACACACACACACACACACACACACACACACACTTGCACAGAGAAAAAAAGATGTGTTAAGATCAGCAGTGATGAGACCTTGGCTACAAGGGTCAGCAGTTGTGCATGTGTGTGTGGAAGGGGTGCACCGCAGCCCCAGACTGCATGTTATGAGTGGTATTTGTTAGCTGTGTTCTACCCCCACTCCCTTCACCCTCAGTCTGACATTAAGGATGCCAGCAGGTGCAGGTCCTCGTGGGAGCTGCAGCCTGCCTGTGGCTTACTGTCCCGCTCACTCCACCACCACTCTGTGCCTGTGTCTGTATGTGTGTGTTTCCATGATTATCTCACATGATTGGCTCCCTGCAGAGCACTCCAGGCCAAAGGTTAGTGACCATCTCCATCCGCTTAGTGGAGACAGAACGAGGACGATGGATGTGAGTGTGTTTTTGTGTATCTGACCTCACCCCTAGGCTGTGCACTCTAGTGGATGCCCCAGGAATGTCACGACCCCCACTGGCAGCTCTATCTGCTCTTAGTGCTCTCAGATCAGTCGGTGTTTGCTCCTTGAGTGTGTGTGTGTGTGTGTGTCACATTTAGACATGTTCTTTCAGAGCGAGCCACAACCTGAGTGAGGAATACATTTAATACTTCCTGCCAAATGGCTTAACTGCTGTACAGGAAGAGCAGCTACTGTACTTGCATAGTTTATATTGAAAAGTCAATACAAGGCCATATGTCATTACCACCAAGGATTGTGATAATCTGGAATAACTTTTGCAAACAAGTGGGACTTTCATCTGTTTCTGCCTTTATCTCAGCCAGTGGTATTTTTGTTACAGTACCTTTAGCATTTTCCAAAACTAGGACCACAGTTCCTCTGAATCCTTTTATTCAAAGTGTTTCCTGAAGAGCATGAATGGTTAATGTCACCATGTGTAATATGAACGTAGGCATATATTTGGCCATCTCTGCCTGCTGTTTCCCACTGTCAGCACCCCCCTAAGGCAGATTTACCCTCCACTATTGTTTGTTTTATCCCTTCTCATCCCTCTCTTTGTGTCCCAGCTCTGGTTTGCCTTTGTGAACGGCTTCTCTGGCCAGATCCTATTTGAGCGTTGGTGTATAGGTCTCTACAACGTGGTGAGTATCCACCCTGACTCCCTCTCCAACTGTTTCGCTCTTTTCTATTTCTCCACTCTCTCCATCCGTCTCAACCCCTCCCTGTTAATCTTGTGTCCCCCTCTCGTTCGCTACCTATCTCTCCATCTCACTCTACTTTGTCTTCCTATCTCTGCTTTATCTGCATGCCAGAGATGTTTGTATGCATGCATGCAGTTTATGTCTGTCCATGTGCAATAAGTGTGATTTTTATGTGGTTTATAGTTTTTTTTGTTTTTGATACTGACACATTTTTCTCTACACCTGAGGTTTGCACCCAGTTTCGTTGTACTGTGTACAATGACAATAAAGATTCTATTCTATTCTATGTGTATGCGTACCTCTATATCTGAATGCACATACTTTCAGGCTTTTTGAAACAGGGTTTGATATGAAAACTGGTTGTCCAGCTACATGTATATGTATGTGTGCTGCTCTATCACGTGTTTTAATGGGTGGATGTGTATCTTGTGTGTGATCCAGATATTTACTGCACTGCCTCCGTTCACTCTGGGGATATTTGACCGGCCATGCAGCCAGCAGAATATGCTTAGATTCCCACAGCTCTACCGAATCACCCAGAATGCCAAGGGCTTTAACACCAAGGTACATGCACACACTTTTATAGTCCATGTGCAAATAAGCATACAAACTACGTGAATAGAAATCGTTTTTGTGCTCCGCGTTCAACACTTTCTGCCTCGTGGTTCATCTATGGATTGACGAGAGCTGTTTGTATGGGAACCAGCAAGTAAACAAGAGTGGCGTGGAGACTCGGATGTTTCCATGGCAACCCATAATGAGATTCATAGGTCCAGAATAAGGAAGTCTTTCATCTTTGAGTGTACACCAGCACCCAACCTACTGTGTGTGCGTATGAGTGTGTTAATGTGTGTGTATGGTTCAGGAGGACACTTTTGATGGCAAGAACACAGTGGAAGTTGTGTGTTACTGTGAGAAATTGCTGTTTTTGTATGTTTATGTATGTGTGGGAATGTGGGGGCATACTGTATATGTGCTTTGGGATTAGTTTACCCTGACATGTTTTTCCCTCTTTTCTGTCTTGCAGGTGTTTTGGGGCCACTGTATCAACGCATTGATTCATTCAATTATTCTTTTTTGGTTTCCACTAAAAATGTTAGAGCATGGTAGGTGTCTAGCCTGAGTAGGTTTTTCCAGCTAATTCTGGGTATTAGCACTTTGTCATGAGGCATATTTGTGTGTGTGTGTGTGTTCTCCACAGACTCTCCCTTCAGCAACGGTCAGGGAAATGACTACCTGTTTGTTGGGAATATGGTCTACACAGTAAGCATCCTGCTTGTATTTCTGTGCGTTCGTTAGTATTGTTGTTTGTATTCCGATTTTATTTTTGTGTCTTTTGGCATGCAGGTGTGGCTTTTTGCACAGTATCTGTATACACACTGTGCAGCTATCTCAAAGCCATTATACTGTAGGTCTCCAGTCAATCTAGTCATCTCTGGCCAGTCTGTCTCCTCTCCCCCTTATCACTTCTCTCTGTTCACTTCATTTTACTCACTACAGTCTCCTGCGTATTTGTTGTGTAAACTACAGGAGGCTGTGGGGGGTCAGGAGTACTTTGCCAGACATTGCTCAGTTTACTGTCTAACACTGTTTATCTCCACAGTCGCCAGTGAATTAATCCTGTTTTTCTGTTGTTTTATCTCCCCTCTGTGTGCGTAGTATGTGGTAGTTACAGTGTGTCTGAAAGCTGGAATGGAGACCACCGCTTGGACCAGGGTAGGAGCATTAACAGTCTAGTACGCCACACCACGTGTGCTGTATTTTACTCAACCGTAAATAAATAAAAAGGAGGGGGTCAACTCTGTGAGGATTTTACTGTGAGCCTTGTATATAACCTCGTCAAAATGCTTCATAGTCAAGAAAGGCGTGGAAAAGAATGTAGCTTCGCTGGAGCTTGTGGGAGAGATTTGAGGTTTCTCAGACTACAGCTGCTCGCACCTCGACTTCCAAACTGTTCACGTTTGACTGCAGATAAATTAACACCTCCTAGCCACTCAAGCCAAAGAAAGGCATTGACTGCGAAGAAGCTGCGCTAAGTGTTGAATTCGCTTTAAGAGATCAAACTCAAACAGGTTTGATTAAATCTAGTTAGCAGCTACTGTACCAGCAATAAAAACAGGCACCACAGAAACTTGCAACTCTTGTAGTTACTGACTATTGATCTGTGTGTGTCCTTAGGTCATCAATAGACAGCACAGGTTAACAGCAATCAATCCCTTCTTACACTAGTATTGTTAGCATTTATTAAAATCCTGTTGTTTACTATAAAAAAATAGTTGCCAGATGTGCATGCACTTTAGCTGTTCACTAAATTATTTGAACAAGGAAATGTCTGAATAAATCAACAAAATCAAGAATCTGACTGATTATTTGGTTCCTATCTTTTGTAGTGGAACAGTGTAAGCAGAGTTTAAGACGACAGTAGCTCAGGCCGTGACACGACATGGCTCGTCATATTGCTGGAGAGAGAGAGACAGGGAGAGATTGGCAGGATGGACAGAAGAGCAAGTGTTGATAACTTTGTCCATTCAGCTGTCCACACAACAAACTGGCAGTAGTGAAGCAAGGCCCCACTGGAATCTGTAGTGCATAGTGTCCCCTTGTAGTAGATTCCAGAGAGCAGGAAGAAGAGGGAAAGAAGAGACAGGAAGGTTGTCTATATTCAGATGAGTTTGTAAAATATTTGACCTCACACTGTCTCCAAATCTCCATTCTCCCTTGCACTCCCTTTCTTTGGCTCTCTCACCCTTTCTGTTGTAGTTCTCCCACTTGGCAGTATGGGGAAGTATGGCTCTCTGGCTGGTCTTCTTTGGTGTCTACTCGGCCATCTGGCCCGTCATCCCCATCGCCCCTGACATGCTGGGCCAGGCAAGTTGCTCTCTACAAACATGTGTCGCTCATTTCAGTAACAGGGGGTAATGGGGGGTTAAAATAGCCCTTCCCTTGACATCTCTATTCTGCAACGTTCATCACCAGCCCCTCCCTCCTTCTTGGTTGTCTGTACATGGCGTCTATGAGACTCACCTCTTGGGTGTTCCATGTTGGTACTGCTGGAGCTCCCCGGGTGAGATTTACGCAGCGACAACCCCTCTCACCAGGCGACCCACACCTGCTGCGTGTCACCCGAGCCCCGGTCTTTTACTGCCCTCTGTGGAAGTGTTGACTCAAGAGGGTGGGCTGCTGCCAGGGGTGATGAGGGTCTAAAGGGGGTGAGGAGAGTGTACATGGAGACTTGGAAGGGAATAGGGCTGCCCCAGCTCACCTCAGCCCATTAATTCAGTTTGTGTCAGAAATCAGGAATGCGGTCAAATATCTCTGCAGCTGCTCGGTCTAACTGGGGAATGGCCAGGGACACTCAACCACCACCCCCTCACCCTCTAAACTTCAATCATCCCATCCCCCAACTAGCCTGTTACCTCTTTTATTTCTCCTGGTCCTGTTATGTTTCTCTCCGTGGGGGACGCAGGATGGAAAAGAGCTGTATCATTTTGCTCGGAATAACTATGTGTAAGTTTGTGCATGTCAGAAATAATGTGTCCAGCTATGTTTGATTTGAAAGTTGTGGATCCCAACAGTCTGTTTAGCATTCCCACAGTGTTTAAAGACGTGATATACCGTGTGTCCACTGCTGTAAAAATGACCTGTGTGCTCTGTGTGTGGGTGTCAGAGAATATGTGAGTCCAGTTGGATTGTCTGTGCCTTGGCTACACTTCCACCCACTGCAGAGGCTATTTCCTAATGGTTTTCTGATTGGTTTTCCTTGTTGCCTCTTTTTCTGGGAACCAAGTTTTCACTCTGTCTCTGGATCCAAGTACATGACACAGAGAACACATGAAGCGGGTAATAAAATAGCAGACATCAAGGATGTCAAAGTGCATAAAGTGTTTGCGAATATTGACTTAAACCTTCATGGCTAGAGACATTGACGTGGGCTTGTGAAACACTGCTGGGCTCTTGCAGATAACCAGAGGGAGGCTATTGGGTAATAATGACAAAAATGAGAGATTTATAGGAACAGGCATGGACAAGCAACAGAAGATAATGAAAGCATGAGATTGGAGGAAACCACAGGAGAAAGAGATGTGTGGGAGAAAGACTCGGGTAGACAGACAAATTGAGACAGTGGTTTAGATGCATGATTAATCCCTGGAGACAGACTGAAGATGAGGGTCAAAGGTCAATGAGGCTGGCTGCAGCTGGACTGCAGAGACAGGTGGGGAGGATCAGTGGTTACACCCCAACATTTATATCTTTATTATCATAGAAAGGTTGTGTTTCAGCTGTGGCAATATTGTGTTAAATCCAGTTTGTGGTGTAGATAAGGGGTTTGAGAAAGCTGTTAAATATGCTTGGCTAACATGGGACTATTCAACTCTGGCTAACTCTCTTTATGCTCTGTGTGGCTATCTCTGTGCTTTTTCTCATATTTCTCTTTGCCTTTGCACATGTGCTTCTCTGCTGGTTGCAGAGAAAACTGACTTAATCCTCAGTTTGAATTAAAATTTGAGGGAACTAAATGGAGCCTGTGTGTTGTCATTGCAGGCTGGCAAGGTAATGCAGTGCTGGCACTTCTGGCTGGGCCTGGTCCTAGTGCCTACTGCATGTTTACTTAAAGACATTGCTTGGACCACGTAAGTAGAACATATTTAATATAAATACATGGGAAATCCATACAGAGACTGTTTAACTTAACTGAAGCGTTTACATTACCCATAATGAGTCTGTGTCAACACTTACGCACTCTTTATATTATGCATCACATGTGTGTCCAAAGTAAAACACTCAGAATTTCCTTCATGGTTCTGATGACCTTATGTCTGTTTAACAGCACACGTCGCACTGTGAGGAAGTCTCTTCTAGAGGAGGTGCAAGAGCTGGAGGCACGAGCCGTCGACCCAGGGGCAGCTGTGCTTAGGGATGCCAGTGGCCGCAGGTACATAAAATAATGCACCATGGGTATTCATATGCAGTTTTATCAGTCAGGTTTTTCTGTTGATTTGTGTGTGTGTTTTAATTTATTCTATGATTTTTAAAGACCATTTTACCCAAGTATGAGTGCATATATCCCCAGCTTGTAACTCTCACATATTATGAGGAATCGGGAAATGCCTTCAGAATTTGGGTGAGTGTTATAAAATGATGATACAGGGTTAAAACGGTCAGCAAGTCTCAATTTCGCAGGTTAACAGAAGTTTATCTCTGTGACTTGTGTGTATGTAATACATGAGAGTCACAAGCTGGGGCTAAACTCCATATATCTTTCAGGGATATTTCATTATTATTCATATCATCATGTTTTGTACATGTGCTGATTCAGTGTAAAACTGTGATGTTTCTGTATGTGTGAAAAACACCTCCCTCGGTGGTGCTGTCCATAGGACTGAAACCAGAGCTGAGGTCCCAAAGAGCCAGAGCTGTCACATACTCACAGAGGTAGTTTCTGGGTTTGACCTGTCCCACTGTGTGAACTGTGACCTGAAATGGCCCAACTACAAGCTACTTTGGAATGACTCTCATTTGTTTTCATTCACTGCATTCACATCTGTCTCTAAAAGATACCTCCTTTGTCTTATGTCCATTTTTCCATTCCCCCATCTCTGGATTGTTTTTTATAGGTGCATCAATTTGAACTACTGCACAGACCTGGTGTGTCTCCTTGATTTGTCTGTAGCCCTCCCCTTGTCACTTAGCCTTATGTTTTGTGTCAGTAGAGTTGTCTTAGAACTGAATAAACTAGATTATAGCTACAGTGTGTACTTTGGATTGTAGATGTTTGAACTGTTACTCGCAGTGGTGAAAAGTACAGTTTTGAGCTACTCGAGTACCGTAGTTCTATTTTCTGCTACTTTATACTTGAACTCTGAAGGGAATTTTTGGCAGATTTCAGATACTGTATGACCCGCAATGTTTATTTTCAACTTTTATTATAGATACTCAACTGCACATAAAGTTGTTAAAATGAACCCCATCTTGACCAGCTATAACACCAAATGCTTCTTTCATCCAAATCCATCAGTTGTAATCCAGCAGCATAGTGTATAAATGGGACTTGACTCGTTTCCATTCTGCATAACGACTACTTTTACTTTTGATACTTGAAGTGTACATTGTTGACATTTTTAGCATTGAACTTACAGTAACCATGAGTGTTTTTGAACTACGGTACAGTATTAATATTTTGACTTTAATAAAAGATCCAAGTACCTTATCTGCCACTGTTTGCTAGTAATGATTATAAAGGGTGTTTAATACTCTGAGATTCTGACTGTAAAAGGAGTCAGATGTGAGTGATTCATTATGACCAGCTGCTTTCTCAGAGCATTTTGGCTTTTTAAGAGAACAGGCAAAGTCTGAGGCATGTTTTCAGGTTGAGGAGGGATGAGTGAGTAACCACAATGCGCCTCTTGACCCCTACTCAGGGCCCCATCCTGGGCTGACCCCGTTTTAAAACCCAGGATCATCAAATCTCTCCATTTTGAATAAGAGAAGTAAAGTCAGGGTGGGCAGAGAGGCAAAATGGAAAAGAGCCCGTCTGTGTTTGTAGTTCCCGGGGAGGTCCCGAAGTGGTAGACTTTGGAAAAGGCGTGGAAAGGTAGAGCACCGGAGCGTCTCACGGGAAGAGTTCAAACGGAGCACATCCTTGGGCGTTTTTGAATCAGAAGGTAGCCAGAATGAAACATCATGGGACGAGAAAGGATGACTTGAGTCGTACTGAAGCATGAGCCTTTCATTTATTTTTCCAACCACCTTTTATCATTCACTCAGCACCGTCATCTATCTAACAGACATCATTTTTGTTGGCCAGAGATCCCTTGAGCAAATTTCCGAGCCCTCGGTTTTTTTCTTCTTTCTTCACAAGCGCTCTATTGAAGGTTCCTAACTGTGTTACTGCCTGCTACAGTTTTTAACCTTGGGAAGGCTGCTTTTACTCTCTCGATAATTATCACCACAGGGAAACCCCTTTATGTGAATGTAAAGCTCCACTGGCAAATAAATATATCAAATGCTTTTTTTTTTTCTTCAAATAAAAATGGCAAAAGTTGACTTCTTGATGTGTTTATCAGTGATACGTGTTCTTTCATTTACATCCAGCGCCTCTGTGGACTGGCTGTAATTGCCTTAATTGTGGTGCTGAGACAGAAGAGAAGTACTCAAGCTGAATACTGTGTATAAAATCTGGAACGCGCTTAGTTATTTTTGGGCACAGGAGGAGAGGAGCTGTGACGGCGTGTGGTCTTAGAACAGAGGATGCAGTCTTCTTCTTGGGGAGGGGGGAGTTAAGAGGAGAGAAGGGGCTGAGGAATATTTCACTGTGGATGTCCAAGGCAGGCAGTATGTGGCTTGTTGTTGGGTTAACTTGAATGTCAGAAGCAGTCAGTATCAAATCCACCTCTTACCAACTTTCTGGTTTTAAGTCCACTTAGAGTTTATTGAATTATCGAGTTGTGTGTTTTACTGTTTGCTGACCCCTGAAGGAAAAATTGTGTTTTGCTCGCTTGCAAGTTTAGCTACTGTGTCCTTAACCTTCCTGCTGCCTTAAATCTGTGGATAGTTTCAGCATCTAAATATTGACAAGTTTCAAAAAGAACATGCACACAGTTGGTGTTGTGAAGTAGTGAGAGTCCTGGAGATTTTCTCTTATGTTACCTAGAAATAAGTGGAAATGTGCCATGGCTGTGAAGTTACCGTTCCGCTCCTTTTTCCCCTGCAGTCTCAACGAACGAGCCCATCTGCTGACAAGAGTCTTTAGGAAAACACCTTCAAGTGTAGGACGCTCAAACTCGGTGCAACAGACTGTGTCACGTGAGTGTCCTTTCCAAACACACACAATATAACATTATCCAAGTTAAGCAAGTTGTTCTGATGGCACATGGTGGTCCAACACCTTACTGAGACACTTAATATTTTCCTTTCATTTATCACCCATCTGTATTTTTAACAACAAAAAGTGAAGTTAATTGAACTCCTATATATCAGTTTTTACTGCACCCCCCATCATTCAGTAACATCAAACTGAAATGCTCAGTTTGTCCTTTTCTGTTGCTCTACAGATGGCTATGCCTTCTCTCAGGAGGAGCACGGTGTGGTGTCCCAGTCACAGGTAGTGCGCTCCTATGACACCACCCGTCAACGCCCCAGCCTCTAGCCCCACCCCTGACTAGGACTCTGGCTCACCATTGCAACACTTGTCAGCAGAGACAGACGTATGTGACACCCTGATGCCAGGTGGCCGACCCCTACTGTGGCCTTACTGGAACTATGATCTGACCTCTCGCCAGGGGTGGGGGTCATGGATGTGGTGTGGAGGCCGCTGCTGGCGGATAGAGTACTGACTTGAGAGAAGGGAACAGGCCAGTTGGTGGAATAAGCATTCTTAAAACTCACACAAGCTGAACAGGCATGAGCAATCGTATCCACAAACAGACATGACAAGTCAAACTCAGAAACTGCTACTCATATGTGTACACCCCCCTCATACTGGTTTATTCCACTGTGTGTTAATGTGTGAGCGAATTCCAGTGTATCTCTATCTCACCATGCATGTATGTCTCCACGCATTGACGCTCCTGTGTTTGTGTGCATGCGTGTGTATGTCCGCGTGTTTGTGTGCCAGCTTCCACAGTTCCCTCTCAGCTCGCTCTCTTGAGGTGGGTTTAGCTTGCCTGTCATTACATGCCGATGTGGGAGGGGACATAACAAAGTAAACACAAACACAATCATGCACACACGGTGCTGATGAATTCCTTAAAAAGGGGCAGACAGAGGGACTCCTTGACCAAGGGCAACCGTAGAGACATACCTGCCCTTATACCATCGTAGCACCAAACCGCACTGCCAAACACCACAGAGATGCCACCGAGGCAGAACGCTCACCCCAAATTGGACCACCACCCTGCGGCTCCCTGTCTTTACCCCACTGGGACCTCTTCTTTCTTCTCTCTGCCTTCTTCTTCCTTCCTTTCTCTCCATCTCCCAGCGGCTCTGCACCTTTGGCATCTCTCTTCTGCTGCACATCTCCTCATCATAGCCACTTTTTAACTCTTCCTGTGACGCAGCCTGTTAAGCATCAGCTGATGTAGAACCAACAAGTCGGTCATTAGCGCGTCCTCCTTCAGTTCTGATGGATTTCCACTCTTTCACACATTGTTTCTTCTTCATTTTTTCTTTTTTTTTACTGAAGTGGACATTATTGTGTATGTATTTATAATTATTTTTCTTTTCATTAATGCCTGTTTTTGTACTCCTAATGTATTAGAGAGAATATTTTGCTTGAACTAAGGCTAACAGGCATCCAAACAGAAGGGATCTGATTGAGACACTCGGCTGGATCATGTGGTTTGGTCTGTGATTTTTTCGAATGTAGAGTCCATTGTCTATGTGCTCTGTGTTGAGGACACCCTGCTTCAGGAATGCAACACTGAAGGGGTGAGAGAGGGGTTGTCCATCTGAGTCCTAATCATTAAATCTAATCAATACTTGGCCTGACTAAATGTCTCAGTTTGTTGACTGTAATCTCACTGAATGGAGGTTTATTTGGGTCAAACTGTGGCTACCATCTAATGGGAGGTTTATATTTTATACATATGATTTCATTTATATATCTACTTAGCCAATGAGTCGATTAATACACACTGGCTACCTGGTGGAAACTGGAGATCCCTTTCCCACCCACATTCCTGGATGTGTCAGCCCAAACCGACCACAGCTGCTCCAGTCTGGAAAATAAATTGAACCATGGCTGAGCGGGAATCGGAGCCATTTATGCTTATCAAATTCTCTCTGGTGATTCCCCAACCGTCTGCTCCACTTTCCACATTACTGTAGCTGAGATTCCACCAAAACTATATCTTCACACTATCACAGTTTTTAAACCACCAGTTGTTGTGGTTTATTGTTCGCTCTCTCCATGTCAGGTGATGTGAAAGGTATTCATTCTGTCCTCTGTGGGAGGCAGAGCTGCCTTTGAAAGTGTGTAATTAGTGTTTCTAATAGCTTAAGTATGTGTGTGTTTGTGTTTCATAGGATTAAGAAGTTGAAATAGTTCTGTGAAAACCCCGTTCACCACACGGGTTTTTTTTTTCTTGTTAACCCTGACTTGTCTTCTTGTGTGTGTGTGTGTAAATATCATCCAAGGGGGCATCAACAACACAAAAATCTCTCTCTCTTTCTTCTCTCTTTCTTTATTTAACCAGGTAAAAAACCCAAAAATAAAAAATCCTTTCAGGGTTTTAAAACTCATTGTTATATACTATATTTATAATGTCAGGATGTGATAAAATACTGAACACATAACATCTCAGCACAATACTTTCTGGTTTAAAAGTTGTTTATTTGTTTAGAAGTCGTATGAAAAATTCACTCCTGCATGAAATGGTTGTTTTTCTCAGAGGGACCAAAGACATTGGCCCAAATTTCATTAATCATTTTACAGATTACACTTTTTTAAATCTCAAACAAGCTGCCTACTGTATCTTCTTGGAGTACAGATGAGGTATGCACACACAGTAGTTTTAGTGCTACTGTAAGGACACCCCAGGCTGCATGCTGCTCAGTGGAGTAGCACATTCCTCAAGTTGCATATTACTGAGTTACCACTGACCCAGTTGCATGGCAGAACACATTGTCTAACCTGCAAGTTTCTTTTTTTGTTTTCAGATTAATAACCAATAATTGCCATCTCTGTGCCTTTCTTAAGTGGAACATAATGTCAGAAAGCTTTCCTGGAGCTGCAGATGCCCTCTACTGACGCACTGAACTGTGGGAGTGTTAAATGCACACATGCATACACACCTCTCAGAGAAGGGGGCTTTTGGATGACTTTTCTGTGTATAATTAACTCTGTACTCTTCAGAGAACTGCCTCTCACTCTTCTGTCACATACTCACTTTTAAGGTACATTAACTGCCAGTCTTGCATGATGGTTTTTATTTTTTCAGTCTGTGTATGTTTCCGTTTAGGGCAGTTGGGGCGGAAGTTTTTGTGTTTTTTTTGTGTGTGTTTCTTTTCAGGTGGCGGGAGGGAAGTTGTATGATAGGATGGAGCATTACAGTCTGTGTCCTGTGTTCCCTTCATTAGAGTTTAAATGGTCTGAGGGGAGACTGCCACTGCCTTGCACATCACACCACCTGTGTTTCCCATTACAAACAGTTCACTCATGGTTACTCTCACAACCACATCACTCGACGCTTCACACTCTCTCTCATACTCACACACATACAGTGCAGTTATCTTTTCACATGCTTTCTTTCCTCACTCTTTCAACACAAACAAACACATAGTGTATTGTATAAACCACTCACAGCCATTCACAAGTGCAGATGTGCACATGGCAAAAACACACAGCATGTGGTCATCATTTTTCTTGAACATCCACTTTTCATTGCTATAAATCACCCAGTCATCACTCATTCCTGCACATATAAGCCAGCACATCTTTTTTATCACTCTCACATACATGCAAACACAAACTCATGCACAGTCTTTGTTTGAGCTGCAGGCTGCAGTGAGCTGTGTATTATCACCCATCTTGACTGTATAACTGGAGCAGTTGTGTATGCAGTTTTGTCTTTGCATCAAGACAGAAAATTGTTTATGCCTCCATTATAGTTTGAGCTTAGCTCATTCCAACTTGTCAAAAGGTCACATGACACTAAAAGACACACACCACACACAATAGCAGGGCATCCCCTGTTGCCAGCAATCGTTTTCTGAGTTCATTGTGTGTCTCTGACTCCATGCCTTTCTTTTTACACTCTGGCAGCATCCCAACAAAGTCTCTGGCCCTCACAGGTTAAACTTCACAAGTTAGAAGTTAGTCTTCACAACAAAGTGACAGAGTGGTCTGCAAGTTGGCCCCTCATCACACTGTCACTGGAGGGTATTTCTGGTCACTGGTTACACTGGACCCACCAGTGGCAGGAGGGCAGGGGGACTGGAGGGGTCTGTATCCTCCCTGGGTGGGGTCAATGAAGGTTGGGGTAGGGGACACAGGGTGGGCATAGCCAATGTACTGTGGGTGCAGGAATTGTCCCTGGTGAGGCATGATTTGGGTGGCCTGCTGGCAGTTGAGTACAGAAAAGTTGGTGGGCATGTTGACAAAGACACTGGCATCAGGCGTCAGACAGCAGGAGGCCTGAGCCCGTATGATGGCAGGGGGAGCGGGGCGGGGAGCAGCAGGCGGAGCCGAGGAGCTGGATGAGGTGGCTGTGCTGGACTGGCGGGATGATGAGCCTCTGGAGGTGCTGGCTATCATAGGGATGGTTTCCAAGAGGCGGCCACCACTGGCCCCACCTCCTGTTGCACCTCCTGAAGACAGCTCCTGTTTGGGTCGGAGGCAGCGGCAGCAGCACACAGCAATCGCAGAGCCGACTAGGATAAAAGCTATGAACACCGAGCCCACGATCAGGAAGGGAACATAGATGGGCACTACGTAGAAAGAGAAAAAAGAAGAGATGTCTCATTAAATAACAGCTAACAATGCATTATATTATATACAATTATATAATTGGGAGAAAAAAACTGCTAACATATCTGCTTTAGCGGCACAATATTTACTTCTAGGTTGAACTCAGTAAAATACCACCTCACACACTCATGACTTATTTCTCTCCATAAACAATAGGTGAGCTGAGACTGGCTAAGACAATGAAACAAGACACTGAGCAGAAAGTCTCTTTGAACTAGAGTAGAAGAAAGAAAGGTACACTGGGATCAAATCCCCAGGGAGCCCCAGGCTCTCATTAGCAGTTATTAAGTGTGTTTTGATCTGTTTTAATCCTCCACACCCTGCTGTGTCCCCAGCCTCCTCAGCCCTGTAGACCCGTGGGTGTGTGTGTGTCATGAGTGCGTGGGTGACATTCTTCAACCTGGCTTCCAGCGGGTATTTGTGACCCTTCCTTTTCTCAAGTTGAACTACAGTACTTGCCTCACGTCTGCTTAAAAGAGTAGTTGAATGGCAGGGTTATTCATTCATCTAAATCAAAGGAGTAAGCCAATTCCTTCTCACTGACCTTTTCTGTCTTTCTGTCACTGAGTCAGATTTACAACACTGCACATGTATAAGTGACAATTTCACCAATCAGTGTCATTTGGCAGTAAAATAACAGAGTTATTACACAGTTAAGAGTCTTGGCATTTTTACATATATTGCAACAAGGCCTTTGAAACATGAATGACAAAGTTTTCCTTTTGCCAGTTTGCAAATATGAACTGAATGCTTCATAGACACAGGGTGACAGGCGAGATGAGGTCTTTTCCTCAGTCACTTGCATAAACACTTTGCAAACATAATAATAACATGTTACATTCAAAGTGATTAGTTGTGTTTTATTGTTCTCACAGGGTCTCCTTACGTTCCACGTTGAATGTGTCCATGAGGTGTAACTGTATGCTAGAGAAAGAGAGGAGGCAACTGGTTCCAGTTTCCTTTAGTTTCTGGATTCTTTGAAATACACATATGGCCCTGAGAAACTTTTGAAAATGTTTGTGGAATGTAACGGAGCATTTAAGGGATTACTGCATGAAACCTGTTAAGAGCTGGTGGACATTCTTTGCTGGGGGAGTAAGTCCACGTGACAAAAGCCACAGGCCAACAGTACAGGAGGCCAGGACACGATGACATGAAACAAACTAGGACCTTGACCCATTTCACTTCGACAGGAGGTGTTGTCAGCGTCAGAGAATAATGTATCTCAAAGCCAAAGAGCTCAGTGTCATTGGTGGAAAGTAACTAAGTACATTTACTCAAGTACAATTTTGAGCTAACCTATCTGTATTTTACTTGAGTATTTTCATTTTTTTTGCTGCTTTATATTTCAGCTTTACTATACATGTTTTACTCCACTACATCTGTTTGATAACTTTAGTTACTTTTTATAATCAGATCAATAAAACAAAATACAGTAAATACACTGAGACTTTATTGATCTCTGGTGGGAAATTCACCAACTAGTCAGCAGTACTTCAAAGAGTTCAAAGGAGCTTCACTTTTACCAGCTGCAACATTAAATGTGATGTGCACAATAATGCATCAATAATTATGATCCAATAACATTACATGCATTAATGTGCTATTTTCAATAATGAACACTTTTACTTCAGGTACGTTAAGTATATTTTTTTACTTTGAATGCAGAAATTACAACAGAGCATTTTGCTATTTTTGCTTGAGTAAAAAAATAATCTGAGTATTTATTCCAACACTGGCAAATGTCCCAGGGAATCTTTTCCTACCCTTGTTTCCTCCACCTCAAATGATTTGCTTCTGCTTCCTTTATTCTGCATGGAATTAGAATTAGTGATTATAAAACCTTGTGTTGCTTCCTCCTTTTCTATGTAGAGCTCCTTTCCAAATCAGTCTCTATTGGGACCCCAAAAATAAACAGCATTTAAAGTTCATCATGCACAGTTATGGAAGAAGTATTCAGAGTTTTTAAGTAAAAATACCACGATAAGTAAAAGCCATGCATTCAAATTCATAAGTACTCATTATGTAGAAAAATACCGCCCTAACAGGTATATAATCAGATATTACATTATTAGATTACTGATGAGTTAATGTATAAGCAGCATTTTACTGTTGTTGCTGGTCAAGGTGGAGCTAATGTAGTTACTTTTCTACCACACCCCAATACTGTATATTTTTAAAAAAGTACTTTGCCTCTTGCTGTGTGTGATTTTCTAAGCACAGAAATCACTTTTTGTGAACATGGTGCTTGAAACCCTCCTATTGTTCCCTGTACTCCTCCACACCTGTTGCAGCAGTTGAGCTGTGGCAGCCATGCCTCAGTAACAACAGCCCCCTCTCCTAAGTTCTTGTTTTGGGCACAGTCTTTGTGGCTGGCTGGCTGGCTAGACTCTCCCTCGTCTCCCTCAGCTATCCCATGGGCAATCTCCTGTTCCTAAAGACCATATGTTCCTTCATCTTTGAGCACATTAATAATTTCCTGCCTGTTATCCACTGACGTTACAGTGTGTATCTTTCCTAGGATGATTAAATAGCTGCAAACATATGAAAAATGAATGAAAAGTACAAACTGGACTTTGCATTAAAAAACCACTTCCCCTGTTCTTAGCGGGGGAAAAGCTGCCTGTCTTTAAGTTATTTTGGCTGCAGGCCACTGAATGAAATGTATATACCTCTTCCTGCAATGATAAGGCATGATAGTCTTAGCAATGACGGGTTATAGCTGGAGGCCCAAAATAGGGCATCATATCCTCCAGGGAAACATGAAATAACCCTGTGTTGCCTTTGTTTTTGATGCCCAGTACTTGCTCTATTTTTTTCGAGTGCCGTTTTCTACTGTTCCATCTATTATTTAAGATATGATGCAGCTTCAACAGGGTTTATGGTAGATTAAATCCTTGGAACATAAGTAATGATGAATGGGGAGCCAGGGTAGATAAAAAAACATAGGTCACTTAATTCTATTTAACCTGAAAATATAGGTTATGTTAACTTTGGTTTTGCTTGCTACACTTTTTAGATGTATGCCAATGTCTTGTTTAAAACAGATCTGAGTATGAATCCCTTAAAAGCCAGACACACACCAGAGAGACTGTGATGTGTGTGTCTGTGTGGACTCTGTATATAGTGAAGACCAAAGATGTATTTTTTCTACAGAATGAGGACATTTTTGGAAAGTGAGGACATTTCGGCTGGTCCTTGCTTTCTGAAACAGCTTTTTGAGGGTTAAGGCTTGGTTTTAGATTTAGGTTTAGGCTAGGGTTGGGGTTAGGGTTAGGCATTTCGTTCTGATCGTTAAGGTTAGGGTAAGGGGCTAGGGAATGTAATATGTCATTGAGTGTGCTCACAAAGATAGAAGTACAAGTGTGCGTGTGCGCGTTGGGGGCCTACCAGGAGTAGCTTTACTTAGGAAATTATATATAACGGGATTGTGTGTTCTTACAGTATGAGCAAAGCTGTCAGCGCCGTTAGATGAGCGAGCCACTGCTCAAGATCCGGTCAAATCCAAACTCGATCCCCGTGGGTACAGGGTGATCTGGTCCCTCTTGCACAGGCCAGAACAAACACAGCTATTTATAAAGTGCAGAAGCACTGCACATACTGCCATTTGTGAGTGCGGCTGACAGGTTTGAAGGAGTCTGCTGCTGTCTCCTGCGCAGCTGTCGTTTCCGACTAGAATAGGCTATAGATGAAGCTCTGAACAGGGATAGGACTATTGCCGACTGCTAGGCTTATGAGAAGAAACCACAGACTATAATAGGCCTGCAATTTACAGTATCGAATTTAAGACATCCTGTGCATGCCTTCTGGGCATGCCATTGGCACACTCAACTTTTAAACGCACTTCTCAAAAGCCTACGTGACGTTTTTCGGAGATCAACCAACATTTTGAAGATACACACCACTGACCCCAAAGACACGAGTCTCTCTTTGATATAAAACACTGTAAAGTGACATCAAGGGCTTTTATTGTGATAGTCCCAGGACTCAAATCTTATTTTATACACTTCTGCTTTTTGTTGATGTCCTCGTTAATTGATTTTGCCGTGTTTTGTTGTGCCTTTTAGCTTTTGTTTGATTTGACTGGTATTTTGCTTTAACCTTGTTTGCAATAAGGAATTCTTAAAATTATGCACTATTAATAATAAGCATAACTATAACTCTATAGCAGAGCACTTTTCAAAACATAGTTACAAAGTGCCTCACAAATGCAAAATCATGAAACACAAAAGGATTATAACTGTTGTGCAAGTTAGTTGCAGAAAGCATCAGGCTAGAAGTTACCTGCGCCGGAGTCCTTGTTCTCTTTGCTTTCTGTCCCGGGCTCCTGAGCCTGTCGGTCGTTATCGCAGCTCCCCTGATCCAACCGTGCGTCCGTGCTGGCACAGCAATAGCGCAGTTCACATTTCCCACAGCAGATGATAGCGTCATCACCGTCGATCTTCTCCGGGCACTGGAACCCTTCCTTCCACACGCCCTGGGAGTCGTGGAAGCCGTGGCAATACTCCCCGCTGGCTTTCACATCGATAATGACCAAGAGCAGAGTCACAATCGCAGTGACAGACATCGGGAATCCGCCGCCCCACATCCTCGGCCAGGTGGCCACCGGCACAGTGAAAGAGACAGAGGGGTGTTTACTCCCCACGTGTATTAACCTGGTGAGCAGGGTGACACGGTAGATCGGTGTGATGCAAAGAGGTGGTGGGATGCAGTTGGGGAGCAACGAGCCACTGAAAAGTTGTCATTTGTTAGAGGAATCCTGTGCGTAATTCAGATCCCGCGTCCCCAAAAGTGACTCTCTTCTGTAGGTGGCTATCCAGGCTTTCAAAAATATTAATTGTGCTATTGAAGTAGACCCAGCTATAAACCATCAGAGATCTTGTAAATCCCACACTGGTTCTCCTTTGGCACTTTAGTAAGGCTGTTCATGTCTTCTCCTTATTTTTCAAATAACTTTCAAGCTGCAGACAAACCAGCACACGTAGCCCGATCCATGTGCATACAGTTGTTGTCACGTCTGAGTCCCCTCACCGCCAGCCCCGTGCGTAAAGATAACTTTTCACTCTTTTATGACGCGGGCTGCATTGTTGGGCGTCAACATCGAAGTCTGAGTCAGCCTAACCCGACTGAACTAAAGCGCGCAGAGTTTATCCTACTTGGGGGCGTGTAAAAAAAATCAGATGGAAGTACACACCTCTCCATAATATAACAATAAACTGATAGAATTACCGGTGTTGAATATAATGAGTAACAAATAACTTCCTGTTCAACTTTTTTAAAATAAAACATAGAAGACGTGTGCAAGTTGCAACTTTGTTCAGCAGCTAGAGTGAAATGAGAACATATTTCCAAATTATGATGTAGAGAGGGAAAACCCCGCGCTTGCAACTTGAGTTCAAGGGAGTTTGTCTCCATCTTTTGTTGTTTCCGAGCTGCTTCCGAAAAAAAAAAGTCATTAGTTGGACTACACTAATTGTGACTTATGCGTGTATTTGCTTTCATGTGTTGTACTCACTGCCATTTGTCACTATCAATCCAAGCCTTTTTTGTGTCCAACTTTCATGGCAGCCAGTTTTATTTTGAAGGCAAGACATTTTATTTCCGGCTATATATTACTGTGGTATTATGAATTGATTCTCTCATCACTCAACATCAGGGATTTGTGTGGCACAACTGTCCCAGAGTCGCGTTACAGTCTTTGTTTTTCCTCTGAGCTTTTTGCTGAATTAACCCCTCCAGGTGAAATACAGCTAAAGAAGTTTGGGAAGTTTGGACCGGGAGTCCAAGCGGTCACTGCAGCCTCCTCTGACCGCACCGTCAGAGGATTTGAATGGTGACGTTGCCACCTAGTGGACATCAGTGTTGCCAACTCCTCAGTAAGGAAAGTAGTAGCTATTTGCTGTCCTAAAAGTCTCTAGAAGTCACTAAATGACGCCATCGCCTAATTCGCATAAAATCCATTTGCATGTAATTGTAATGGAGCTGTAGGAGAGAGGAATAACGTCATGGGAGAGACAAAAAAAGTGAGTAAAAACACCCTAAATATGTTTAGTACTACAAATAAACTTTCTTCTGTTGATTCTTGGTTTGCTTGTTTTATATTTTGCCATTTAAATAGGCCATCACTTGTCAAAATAACTTCATGACTTTAATGCTTTGTCTAGAACCACATTACATAAATCAATTTTGTCCTGTATTGGTAAATGTTAGAATATCAAATTTAATCAATTCACCCTCACCCTTTGTCCGGGCTCAGCGGCGGCTTTGCGCATGCGCGATTCAAAAAGCAGACACCTTGGCAGGAAGTAGCTCCAAATAATGTTGAAATTGTCCAAATGGCCCAGTATTTCTGAAGTAACATAATGTTTTCATGACTTTAATGCTTTGTCTAGAACCACATTACATAAATCAATTTTGTCCTGTATTGGTAAATGTTAGAATATCAAATTTAATCAATTCACCCTCACCCTTTGTCCGGGCTCAGCGGCGGCTTTGCGCATGCGCGATTCAAAAAGCAGACACCTTGGCAGGGGTGTGGATCTCTCTGCTCTGACTGCAGCTGGGACTGGTGCGAGAGGCTACGGTGAGAATAAGTGTCTGTGAGACCTTTGGGACGGGGTAGGGGCTCATTTTGGAAAGTCGCCAGATTTAGCGAGAAAGTCGCCAAGTTGGCAATACTGCCGTCAGTCCCCGCGCTAGCCTACAGCGTTACCCAGTGGCCGGTGTGTGTTTATCGTTGGTGGCACAGCTTTTCGGCACAGTCCAAAGAAGAAGTCAGGACCACAGCAGTCCTGTCCTTGTAGGAAGTGATGACACTGTTTTGCCCGCTCCTTCTTCAGCTTCCACGTCGGAGACAAAGCCTCTCGTCCGTTCCAAGAGCATGTCTGAGTCTCGGCCTCATTCTAATGGTGCCAAGATCCAGCGGAGATACACAGTGTCTTCTAACCGCTTCACTGTCCTGTCTGGATTTACCTGAAGACTCAGAGCTGTTGCTTCAGAATGAGCAGAAATAACAGAACTATGACTAGCCACCTTTTTTACTTGGAAAAAATAAAACAAAGAACTAAAATCTGTTAGCTGTCAGATGTGAGGGAGGTTGGGTAAAAAAGTTTGCATTTCAAATGATTATGAACAATTGGATACCTAGGGGAGGGTTAAAAAGCATATTTTTCATGTCTCACTCCAGGCAGCCGTTTTCTAAAGCCTTAAAAACAGTTGAAAAGCACTCTGGTGATGACATTATCATTTTTTTTTTATTTGTGCAAGTACTCAGCTTGGGCCACCAGGGGGCAGGAGTGCACAAGCTACCAGAAGTCATGGGTTTTCCTGGACTTGCCTGGCATCAGTGTTTTATGAGGTGATAGGTTTGCAGTTAAGCTTTTTAATGTCATTGTGATTTTTGATAGTTCAAACAGGCCTGAAGGGTCTTTATTTTAATATAGTACATAATACATGTTAGAATATTAACAAACCGTTGAGTTGTTGTTTGCTTAATTCTGTGGTGGCATCTGCAGTTTTTTACGCTGTTCAAGGTTCAAAGTGTTTATTTGTCATATGCACAATGAAATTCTTACTTTCTTGTGGGTTGGGCAGGAGGTAGCACGGTCAGGGACAGAAAGAGACTCAACAAGCTGGTTATAAGAGCTGGTTCTGTCCTGGGCTGCTCTCTGGATTCCATCGAGGAGGTGGCGGAAGAAGGATCCTGGTAAAACTAACATCCATCATGCATAACCCCTCCCATTCCCTGCACCACACAGTTGTGGCTCTGAACAGTTCTTTTGGCACGAGACTGTTACATCCCCAGTGTAAGAAGGAGTGCTACCGCAGGTCATTCCTCCCCACAACAATCATACTGTACAACACATCACTGCAGTAATAAGCTAGGTGAAATTAAGAGGGACTATGCAATAATCAATAATCTACTGAGGTGCAATATTCAAATCCTGGGTGTGAAATGCAATGTAAATAGGCTCATGTGTAATATCTTGTTCCTGATCTCTCTCAAATACTGTACATTGCCCTGCTTTAGGTATTTTTAAGTATTTGCTCAGAGATCCTTATGGCTGAAACACAGGTTTCTCTCCCCCATTGTGGGATTAATTGTGAGAGTAATATTTGATTGTTCTTGATTTCCTGGTTGCTTAGTCTCTACTGCTGTTCCTGTTTCTCTCCAGTGCTGCTTTGCCCTGTTTTTAGTTGCCTTTGATTTGCTTATATTGTGCTGAATATAATGTAATGTTCTGATGAATCTACCTTTATAATCCTTGTGTATCGGTCCTAATGCTTTGTTGCCTTTATGTAACTGTCTCTTTTAAGACTAAGTGTTCTTTGTTACTAAGTACATACGTACGCATGCGTCGTGTGTAGTGGCAGCAAGTTACAGCAGCTGTGTCCTCGTGTTCTTTTCTGTGTTTTTATGTAGTTCTGTTCTTATGTGTCTGTTCTTATGGTGTTATGTTGGTTGTCCTCTATTGCTGCTGTAACACAGAAATTTCCCCACTGTGGGATCAATAAAGTACCTACTCTACAGAACTCTTGCAGTACCAAGTCGGTGCAGATGTATTCTGTCCATTTTACGTTGTGTGTATTGAGGCTTTCACTATAAGTCACTGTCTTTTAAATGCCATGAGTTGTTCCTATTGAGTTTTAAATGCAGTCACTTGAATTATCACATTTTTAAAAAACACATTTTACAGTTATATGTATTTATTAAATTATACATACATACAAACATTGTACACTTCGTAGCTCTTTTTTAACTTGTATATATGTATATGTGTAAATTTTTGTCTTCTGTTTTTTTATTTGTGGTTTGGGTTTTATTCTCTTCTTATATTGCTGTGCACATCAGGGGCCAATGGGCTTTAGTGAGATTCCTTGTATTTTTGATAATACTTGGTAATAAAGTTTATGCTTATACTGCAGTATATGATGCTGATTTTCCTTTAGAGAAATGGATTTAAGAACTGTTCAGTTTAAAAGCAACAGTTTTCTGCTGTTGAAATCTAGATCATCTTTTGGTTTATTCAAAACTAGACTTTTTACATATGGTTGTTATGTATAAATTAGTGTGAGGAGTGGGGGGGGGGTACTGTGGTGTAGGCAGCTCACTAAAATGAGTTCTTCAATGGGATGTTTCACTTAGTGATAATTTGTATATATTCTGATGAGAATTAGTGAATGTTTTATTGTCATTATCTTTGCTCAGACACCTTCATTTCCTCCTTCCATATGTAACATATGAGGTAGGTGTGAATATGTGTGGGTGTGCAGAGATTGAGCTGTATTTCTGTGGTTCAAGATCAAGCCCAGCTTTCTAGTCATTTCTACACATAGGTATGATGTACACACATACTTTTATTTGACAAACCTTATCCTAGCCCTAACCACTGAGGAGGGCGCTAAGGGAAATCACTTTAACAGTAGGAAATATCTCAATGGGGAACACATTTTGACATAATACTGGTGTTTTTCAGTTAATTTCTTGCATTTTTCCTTTTATGAACAACATATTTTGGTAGGAATCTGTTAAAGCTTCAACTTTGTCTTTGTTTGTTTTTACCAACTCCTCAGTAAAGAAAGTAGCTATTTGCTGTCCTAAAAGTCGCTAGAAGACGCTAAATGACGCCATCGCCTAATTCGCATAAAATTTCATTTACATGTAATTGTAATGGAGCTGTAGGAGAGAGCAATAACGTCATGGGAGAGACAAAAATTGAGTAAAAACACCCTAAACATGTTTAGTACTACAAATGAACTTTCTTCTGTTGATTATTGGATTGCTTGTTTTATATTTTGCCATTTAAATAGGCCATCAGTTCTCAAAATAACTTCATGACTTTAATGCTTTCTCTATTTACTACTGTAGCCTAGGCCTAGCCTATATGGTTTAGGTCCGCCTAATTTTAAATCGTTTTATCCTGTATAAGATTGCAACTAAGAATTTTGCATTATGGATTATTCCCCTTATTACATTCTCTATTAGTCATCGTCATGTAATAATCTGCCAACTGAATGAAATTGCTAGTGGGGAGACTACATGAAACCTTTCCTAACACTAGCTCATCGCCTGCTCGCTTGCAGTACTTCACTTCCCATCATGCGCAACGAAAGTGCTGCCCTGTTCCACACTCCAGCCCAGCAGGTGGCGGTAATGCACCTTAGGTTGGCTTGCAAACTGCCAATAAACACCATTTGAAGACGAAGAATACGAATACGAATAAGAAGCGCTGCCCGTGGCAACAGTACAGGAAGTGGCGCGCAGTTGTTGAGAACTGACACACAACTGGTTGAAAGAGATTTTTAAATTGGTCAGCAACCTCATTGCTAAAGTCTTAGAGCTATAAGTATCCTTAAGCGTTGCCCTTATAACTGTCTGCGGTTTCATGTCCTGTAAACGTAAGTCCTATTTCAGCATTTAGCTAAATAAGTACGAAAATACATTTAACTAGCTAACGTTAAGCAATTATGCTCATCCGAGGCATCGTTAGTCAGAAATTAACATCGGCAATTAACAACTAATGTTCAAATTTGAAATGATTGCGGATGACACTAAATATTTAGCATAATTTGTCCCCTACTGGCTACATTTAGTGGTCAGTAATACGTGTGCAGACTGTAGTTAGTTACAACGCATCCCTGTGTTTCTTCTATGGGTTATGTACCATCTGATGCGTGTGAACAGATGTCGTTTGTGAGAGTAGGGCGTCCACGGCAGCTCCCCAAATCAAAGAGGCCTGTTTGCACCAAGAAGGCAGTTGCTCCAAAAAGAGAGTGGGTGGTGAGTACACAGACACACAGCTGTCCCACCTGTTAAAAACAAACCAAACAAGTGTCCTAGTGGGGATTTACCTTAGGTCACTAATGGTCCGTCCTTTAAATAGTTTGATCGTTTTGATCTCTGGGTTATGTAGCATAATCTACGTTTTTAGAGCATTGTTTCTGTGGCAAGCTGTCCGTTACCATCAACTCTTTAAGAGCTAATTTTTAGTAATACTACAACTTGAGTTTTAAATACATGTACTCTAACTTGTAATGTAACACATCCTCCACTTGTGTAGATCCTATGACTACTCTTCCAAAGTTCACCTACTAGGTTTTTAGAAGTTTTTGTTAAAGCACTTTTTGTTCAAAAATAACAACTAGGCATTAAAGTAATGCCAGCTGTCTGTTGCTGGTTTCAGAGCACTGTCACTGACCTGTCTGTGCACAAGCTGACACCTGCGGAGCTGGTAAAGTGTTGCACTATGTGTTTGTTGTATGAATGGTACTTTTTTGTGCGATTTGTTTATTGAAGGAATTTATGCAGCTTCAGCTTATCCTTCGCACTGTAACACTTGAACATGAATACATTCAGCTGATTGTAGTGAAAGCTGATACATTTATCAGTCAGAGAGGACTAATCATCATACATTTGTTTCTCTTCTTTGTTACCTTTAGATTTTACAGCACGTTTTGTCTTTGTAACTTGTATTATTAATTTGTCAATAGTTTAGAAATATTAGAAGCAGTTTTGTGCATTTTTTTAGGCCACTTATCAACTTTTTTTTAGAAATGGCTAAATTAATGGCTGATTAAAATAAAAAAAAAATTAATAGCCCATGTGCACTTATTTCATTATTCTGTTCTGCTTTAGAGTCGCCGGCATGAGATTCATAAGTCCCACAACAAGGCTGCTGCTCAGTGGGAGCTGCGAGAGAAAGCTCTGAGATGCCGTTTGAGATGTGCTGGAAGTCCAGCACCTCTGGATCAGGCCAGCCTCAACATCATCAGAGAGGTGTGCATGTGACAATGATTTCCATGTAACCTTTAGTGTCTTCTGTGTTAACTTGATGTTGTCTGTTTAAGAGGGAATATAATCTTAGTTTGTTGAACAGGAACAAAATATTTAGTTTTATAATGTTTATAAGTTTGATGACTGTGGTGTGTTGTGCTGCTGCAGGTTTTCTCTGATCAGCTGCTGCTGCAGGATGTGCTGGCTCGTTCTGACAAAGCCATGGCTGTAGTCAAGGACCTGTTTGGAGATGCCCCACGCAGACAGACTGGTAGCAAGCAACGTGTTTTTGTTACATAGATACTTAGATGCTGTGAGAGTGTACACTAGTCCTTCCTGTTGTAGGCTGTCTTTTGCACCCCTTGTTTTAGAAACAGATTTTAGAGGTTTCAGTGTTGATTCTGGTGTGTGTGTGTGTGTGTGTGTGTGTGTGTGTGTGTGTATATATATATATAGATAGATAGATATACTTTAGGAGCCATAAACACTTTCATGTGGTTGCATGAATTATCCTACAAGCTTGTGTGTGTATTTGCACAGGGCATCCCAGTGTGACCATGGCGCCTAACTGTGACTCTGACTCAGAACTGCCTGTTCTTCAGAGACCAGATCCTCCTACTCAGCTGTCACTGCTCAGTCAGTCTATGATGGATAAACAGGTGTGTTTGTGTGCATTAAGATAGGGAAACACTTAACCACTAATAGGACCCAGTTGGACTGAGTCTGTCCCAGTCTGGTTCAGTCGGTTTTCACAGTCACCAGATATACAGTATTATGTACCATGTAAAGATTTCCGTCTTAAGTCTTAGATCCAGTTGCTGCCAGTCAGACCTTGCGTGAACTCTCAGCTTTAACATTCCACTAGCTACTCACGCTCAGTTTTGGGATTTGCTGAGAAGAAAAATCTCAGCCAGTGCAACTGTGTGTTCACTGATGTGTTTTAAATTAAACAATGAAAATCTATCACACAGATGAACAAGCTGATTCAGAATGCATCACATTTCATCCAGTGTCATGTTTTTAAATAACAATGTACTATCTGTTATTATATATTTTGTGTTATAATTTTGCTTGGCATCAACATGTTTGTATGTGGAAAATGGTCTATTTCAGGCTCTTAATGAATTGGAAGCTTCGGAGGAAGACCTCAGTGATGAATATATCCATCCTCATGGCAATTCAGGGTACCATGTAATTCGAAGGTAATGATGAGAGAATGGTTCAAAACAGTCCACACCACCACAAACAGACTTAAGAATCTGACTCATGTACCTTGCTTGGGGGAGAACATGGTTATAATTTGAGATTATGGCTGAAGGTTCACATCTGGCTGACAGCACTGCATTGCACATGACACTTTTGCAGGGACAACATACGAAGAAGGAAGGTAAAGTCTCGGGGTGGAATGAAAGCCCACCATGCCAACAGTGATGAGGCAGACAGAGATAATGTTCATGTTACTCCCTGCACATCTGGCAGAGCACCAGACCGAACAGGTAGAATAAACATGTAAGCTCCTCTGAGGTTGTAGATTGGATTAGAAGGAAAGGTTTCATGTTTACATATATATATCAGGTATGAGAGTTATACTTACAAACTCATGCCTCCTTGTTTCAGCTCTGAATGCCACAGTGGCTGTTCAGCGTATTCAGTCCAAGCAGAACCAGTCAGAAGAAGCCAAGGAGGAACATTCAGCCCTGGTTTCTCAAGTCCTGACCCCCGATGTGTCTCTCAACCAGTCAGGTAGCATGAGGAAGGGATCTATTTCTTCACAATGTGTCAGTCTGTGTGAAAATGTCATCTTTTTGGGTTGTGATACTGCGATAATGATAATCACATTTATTGGCCAAATATGTTAGGCACACAAGGAATTTGTCTCCGAGGCAGCCATCTGCTACACCAACTCTTTCTCACGCACGTGCACATGCGCACGCATCTGCTACACCAACTCTTTCTCACGCGCGCGCGCACACACACACACCTCGATGGTGGCACTGTCCCTGTAAATGGTTTGCGTCTGTGTTTCATAGGAAGGATTCACAGTTGCACCAACAGGACCAGGAACTGTGTTTCTCAGGGTTCACAGCTTGATGGCTCCTCTGTTGCCTCTCTCAGTGGGAACCAGTCTAGTCTTGGCCAGCTGCAGGCCTTGTTGGGTCAGGTGGAGGCAGACTTGGACACTCTGAGTCCTGATACAGCACCAGGGTCAGCCCAGAGTCCAGAACAACACAGAACACAAGGCCTCACTGGATTCTCTGTCGCCTTGGTCTCTACACTTGGACGTTTAGTGCATGTCCTCAAACAGGTCCAGTAGTAGATCAATGAAGATGGTAGCTGCACCATACATGAACTGTTTACATGTTGTCTTTATTTCCAGGCTGACATTAACTTCATATTTTATGTACAATCATTTTGTTTCTGTTGAAGTTACATAACTAGTGTATGGTAATTCAGTGTAAACATTTCAAGCAAATCTTCAGGTACATTTGCAATAACAATGCAAATTTGGGAGTAGTTGAATATTTTGGCTCATGGCTTTGAGGTGTAATGTGTAACACTGTCCTTAATTTTCTAACATTTGTTTATGTTAGCTTATTTTGTGCTCCATCTGTGTTAGAGGGAGGAGGAAGCTCAGAAAAGGGCTCAGGAGAAGAGACAACTGGAGGAGGAGCTGAGAGAGCATCGAGGGCTGATAGACGCTCTCACCACTGAGACCATGATTCTGAGAGAAGAGGCTGCCACACTGCAGGTGAGACACAGTGTGCCACACAGACTGACACTAGTTTCTTTTTATTCCAAATGTACTGATAAATCCTGCTTATTTCTGCTTGGTTCCTCTCAGGCAGTGCTGCAGCAGCAGATAGCAGAGCTGGAGCAGAAGTTGGACACAGTAGTGCTGGCATTAGGGGGATTTGGACTATTGGAGGGACATACTGACACACCCCAAGACTCTGATGTCGAAGCTGCAGGTCCATACAGTCTGTGTCTGTCTGTCTGCACATGGGTATTGTGAATGGATATGTGGTAACTGATGAAAAATGTCTTTATATTTTGGTGAATTATTATTGTACAGTTTGTCAGTCCGCCCCTGTTCCTGAGCAGACACGAGCTACTGTCTCTCCTGCCGTCCTGCTTTCCCCGCCTCAACAGAGAGACAACTGGCAACATATTCTTGGTATCAGTCTCATTCTTTCTAGTTTGATGTCAGTTGTTTGCCCCTAATGTGAACCTCACTCAATCTGGTGTAAAAAGCCTAACTACGCCCCTCTCACACAGTGGCTGATCCTGTACCACTGCATCAGAAGCATTCTCCTGTGGATAACTGTCGTTCCTACAAGAACTTCAAGTGTCATAGCTCAACTTCGAGCCTCACCAGCCTGGCTCTCACCAGACTGCCCTCCACTTCCTCATTATCACTGAGCTCTGATCCTCTCAGCTCACAGAACCCCCCAGAAGCCATCCTGGCTGAGATCGCTCAGCTGAGCCGACAGAACGACTCGATCAGGGCCCAGCTCAGCCAGGTTAAGGTCCTGGGGTCAGGGGCTGAGGGATCACCTAATGGTGGCAGTGAGCAGAGAAGTTTGAGCTCCTGCAGCACAGGCAGAATCACACCTCAAAGTGATGGAGAGAGAAAG